GTGAAAGAATTGCATAATTGGATGTAAATAACATCCACAATTTTACCGAAATAGTACTGCATTAAATGAAAGATAATTTCACTCACCCAACTTGACATCTCCTTGTTCAGTTAACAGAATATTACCACCCTTAATATCTCTGTGGACCTTGAAAATCGAGTGCAGATACGCAAGGCCCTGTGCAAAAGAAATATTGTCCAAATACAGCAAACAATTTACATTGATAAATATAAACTGAATAAAAAATGAATGTATGTAAGGTGGCATCATCACTGAAATTTTGTTGTCAAGTTCAATTTACTTTCACATATAAAATGGAGAGAACATATATGAAGCATTTTATAGGCACTTCATGACAAAATTTAAGCATAAATAAACCCTTAATGAGATGCAATTGTTTACTTCGAACTCGAATATCCAATCAAAATTGATCTTACCTTCAAAGCTTCCCTACAAATGTAGGCTATTTGATACTCCTCCAGAGCATCCTCGGTAGCATTGATCAAGTCGGCAACACTACCACCACCACAGTACTCCATCACAATCTAACAAGACACAACAAAGGAGCAGTCTATAGTCTCAGATTTTGCACTACCCTACTTACAAACACAAACCAATAACAGCTTCATCATCTAGCAATTTCACCAGTAATCAAAGCAAATGCCAGTCATTACCCAAAGATACTCTTCTCCTTGGTAGCTCCCCAGGTACCGAACCACATTCGGATGGTTACATTGTTGCAGCATCTCGATTTCTCCGCAAATTTCTTCATACCCCTCTTCCTAAAACCAAATCAAAACAAAAATTCAAAATCAAACCAAATACAAATAAAATGCACGAAAAACCGAAAAGAAGATAACCGAAGCATACCTCTTGAGACAATGAAATGACTTTGATCGCCACCAGCTCCGACGTCTTAATATCCCTGGCTTTATAAACCTCGCCATAAGATCCCTTCCCTGCCAATTCAATCCAATTTCACAGAAAACTTGAACAGAAGTAAATGCAGAAGCAGCTGAGATGCATACAAGTTGAAAGTACAAGAAACCCACCAAGCTCATTGAGCAGCTCGTACTTTACAGTTGGGTCTTCTCTGGTAATGCTATCTGGTATCGAACTCGACGACATTTTAGTGGTTTGCCGATACTCTTCTCCCTGCGACGACCCACTGCCCCTCCTCTGCTTCCCAACTCCTAACTCCGACGAGGCCTGCATACTCGCCACTGCCCTACTCATCGTCGAACCAGCGCCGCTGCTCGTCCTCCTCACCACGGTCCCGCTGACCGACTCTCTCTCGCTCGACGGCCTCACCACAAAGGTCGAGAACCCACTGCCTTCTCCGTCATCGTCGAACGACGCCCGCTTGAAGTCGCGCGACCTCCTCGTGGTCCGGTTTCGATCGGGCTTAATGATCATTGTGCCGAAATCGCCGCCGTTTTCGTCTTCCTCTTCGTCGTCGAAGTAATCGATTGAGGGTCCGCCGCCGAAGTCCTTGGGGAGGCGTTTGAGGAGCGGAGGGAGAGAGGCGTCGTCGTCGTCTTCGTCTTCGTCGGCATTACCCTTATAGACCATGGTGGCGTAGAGGTCGGGTTCCGGGTCGGAGCTCTTGTGCTTGCTCTGTCGATTGGACTCGGCGTCATCATCGTCGTGGATGACTACCGTTGAGTAATCGGGTTTGGGTGGGATTTTTCGGGTCCGGCGAGTGGTGAGGATCGGATCCATTTCCGATTGGGAGTGAGAGATAGGGAGATAGAGAGAGAAAGAGTGTTAGCTAGTTGGCGATGGCCATAGCTCGGAGTGGATGCAAACCAGTTGGAACCAGCTGTCGAGCACGATGATGTTTTCGGGCTCTTGGGCTCAATAGTGTTTCCGATTTGGGCCGAACGTGATTCGTTTTTAAAGGACTTGAAAAGCCCATGTTTAGGTAACGCGCCTTGCTACTCATCCCCATAGGCACCCCCAAAAATACGGTCAATTTGTTTTTATATATTATATATATAATATATATATTATATATATATATATATATATATTTGTAGCACTAAAACAATCTCTAGTTTAGTTTTTTTTTTTTTTTTTTTTAATAAACAATTGCGTTAGTGGGTTAAATTGTTAAATCTTAGAGGGAAGGATGATCTGTGGGGGTCTAAACGATTGCGTTAGTGGGTTAAATTGTTAAATCTTAGAGGAAATGATGATCTATGGGGGTCTAACTTGCATTAGGATGCATAAGTATTATTACTTTCTGCCACTAGGTAAAACGTCATATGATGAATGATATAACAAAATGAAATTTTTACAAAAATATCTTTAAATGATGAATAGCAAAATGAAATTCGTATTACAACATTTGGACAATAAAAATGCCTTAATCACAACTGGATTAGTAATATTTGTAACCTAATCAACGACACCATGATATGCTTGATATTATTAGATTTATCACCACCACATGTCACGTGATGAGAAATTTCGAAAAAAGTTAACATGCCAAATACTATTACTCAAATTTAATAACTTGAACAAGATTTTAACTAGATGCGTCGCCAAAGGAATTTCAAGGGGGCTCAACTGGCTATATTTCTAAAACGTGCATGGAAAAAAATAGCATGTTGTTCTCAAAACAAAATTGTCAGTTTCCAGGACATGACCTTAACTTTGATTTCACAGCTTTGCAATATGAACATATTGAAGTGAACAATCTCCATTAAATTGAAGGCATTTTTGTCAAAACAACCCTTCACTTAAACTACTGGTTTCTTCAATTTAATCGAGATTTTTTACAAAAAAAACCAAAATAGTTGATAGTAGACAATCTCAAAGACCGCTTCTATTAATTTTTAAAAATTCCGATAATTGTATGCAAAATGAACCATAAACTTGCCGGGGACGTAGTCGGAAAAGATTATCATCGGAATCACTATAGTATTGCATCTCCTTTACAAAATGAAAAGGAGTTGTGTCCATTTATATCCCTGCTGCTCCATGTATGGATATATATTCTCTCTCTCTCTCTATCCTTCAAAAAGGAAAAGGAATATAAATCTCACCCAACCCATCCTACCAAATCCAGCCTTTGGTTCTTATTCTTTAATCATCAATCATCATGCATGCTGCTCGATTACAATCACGTATATATCGACATAAATTTACTACAATGGAGATGTCATGACATATATATGCCTAAAATACGATAAGATGCATAAACTATAAACCACTAAAACGACAAACGAACCTCATTCCTCATCAACATCGTGAATTCGTATGTTATGCAAGAATTGCCCCCATACACTCTCATTCTCAAGTTAAAGTTGGCATATTTTTTTTTTTATGGTCCCTCAGTCAAGTATGTTCAAATGTCTCTTTCTCGTCTTTCCTTCTTTTTTTCAATTCATGTCTAAAGTTAATTTTTACCAAGCGAAGGAAGTACGTTTTCAATCATAAGCCTTTGTAATATAGAGTAACTCAATTTACTTGCATGCATTTGCAAAATTTTTCATTTTACTAATGTGAGACTCTTTTAAACTTCACATCCGCACATAACCTCTCTTGTGTGGCGAATTTTCGACCCAAACACATAAAAAACACAAATTAAGTGACATGGAGCACGTATAACATTTGGACTTCAATTGTGGGCTAACCTATACCATGAAAAAAATTGAAATACTGCCATAAAACCACTTAGGGCTAGTTTGGTATTGCTGTGCTTTGAAAAAAAAAACTGTTTTTGCTGTGCTGTGAGAATAATGTCATTTTTGCTACTTCACGTTTTCAGCTTTTTCACCCAAAACTGTGAAAATAAGCTGTTTTTAAGTTTTTACCAAACATTTTTTGTGTTCAGTTTTTTTTTATACCCACTTTTTATAAAAACACATCAGTACCAAACCAGTACTTAGCAAAATAAACAAAAACCCACATCCTCAAAACTTCACACTCTCTTGGTTTGGACTTTAATTTCACAAATGCCAAATTAACGATTTTTCCTAACTAAGGTTCTAAAAGACGTTAGACGCTAGTTGGCGGTGAGTTGGGGCCTAGTGCATAGGCAGATTTAAGTAAATCCATTATATTTCGTGTAAATAAGTGTCTGTTTAATTCCATCATAAACTACAAAATCAATTAACATATATATGATGAAGTATTTGAACATAATGAAAACATGGGAATAAGTATACAAAGTGTGTTCATTTAAGTATTCAACAAGTTTCTTACAATTTAGTGAAAAAAATAAAATACAACATGAAAGTTATATATTTTATGTCTAAGTGAGTCGCAACCTAGATTAGGCCATCTCATACCGAAATGTCTAGAGAACTAAAAATAGCCAGAAAACAGTCTCCAACCAAAGGTTAGACCAAAGGGTTCGTGAGCCTCACCGGACAAAAAATGGCCAAAGGACCAACGGGCTGACTGGCCCAACCTAGCCAACCAACCCTGAGTCGGGCCACAAATTTGAATGCAACAACTAGCCGTTATATTTGATATTTTTTTTTAATTTAAACAAAATCTATTTTTTTTCCTATAACTTTCTAAATCATTAAAAACATTAAATAACATAAAAAAATTCTCAGTTTTTCTTATAAAATTAAGTTGATAAGTTTTTAAATTTAAATAATAAATTATGTTTGGTTATATGATTCAAGTTGAAGATAATTTTTTGTCACATGGTTATATTTGACCCTCGGTTGAAGATGATAAAAAATACAGCCCTCCAGTGTTTATTAAAATATTAATTTATTGAAAAACAAGAGGGCTAAAATTGAGACCTCCAACTCTCATTTGGTTTGAGATAGCCTTAATTTTCAAAAACCTAAGCATTAATCGGAACAATGAACCGTCTATAGAACAGTGTTCCTAACCTAACATGACGGAGTAAACAAACTTGCGACACAAAATGAAAGAACAAGAAACAAAATCACAGTAGAAAATTGTGGGGAAGTTGTATAAACACAAACACAAACCAACTCAACTTGCAAATTAGAATTAGAGGACATAAAACATAATAGCATAATTATACAAAGATTAGCAAAGTTAATCAACTTTGATTACCATATATTCCAAACTGTATTATACAGTCAATAAGCTGCCCATGCATTACGCTAACCCGACTTAATTAACCAAAACGACCCGCACTTAACCCAACAGATGAGCCCAAACTTGTGCATATGGTAGCCCCCCAGCTACGGCAGATAACATATCCAAACCTTGCACACCTAACCACGATTTACTCTAATTAAACTAGTCTACCCTAACTTGTTAACCAAGCTAATTAAATTACGCAGGGGTCGGTTTAACAACTAAACAAAGCTTCATCAAACAAGCCTAGGAACCACCTTGCAGACCAACGGGCTCTTCATCTCCATCGAAAGCTTCAAACACTCCGACAAGTCCACATCACAATTCTCCGATGCAACCCAGGTAAAGTTCTGCAGCAACTGAGCAAGCCAGAGCTGGACGGTGGCCAATCCCAATGCTTTCCCGGGACAAACCCTCCTCCCGGAACCGAAAGGCGCCAGCCTCAGATCAGTCCCCATGATACTCACATCCTCCGCCATGAATCGCTCCGGACTAAACTTCTCCGGTTCAGTCCAAACCTTCTCATCGTGTGTGATTGCCCACATGTTCACCATGGCAGATGTTCCGGCCGGTACAAAGTTATCTCCCACGTAGACATCATGGATGGCAATGCGAGCCCAGGATAGGAGAGGGCCTGGTGGGTGCACCCTCAGGCACTCCTTCACAATGGCTTGGAGGTAAGGCAGGTTGGGAATATCCGAACCCTGGACGGTTCTCGTGGAGCCCACCACGGCGTCGATTTCAGACTGAGCCTTAGTCTGGATTTCGGGGTGCAACACCATTCTTGCAAGGATCCATTCGAGCAGAATTGCCACCGTGTCTGTTCCTCTAAATATCATCTCCTGCAATTAGAACAGTTTAGGTCACAATTTTTCACTGCCGGCAGATTATCTACACAATAAAACACGTTATTTAAGCCACTTTATTGTTGTTTAATTGTGATTAATGTCGTATTAGCGAAAATCTTTACTTAGAACATCGTCACCTGTAAAACCGTTTTATGTTAGTATCTTTAATTTCATTTTTGTACAAGTTTAATATAAAAATATTCTTTTTTTTCCCAATTTTTTAAACAAAAACAAGAATGCTAAGCAATATATTACTACATTAAGTAAAATTAGAGTAGAAAGGTAAAAATTGTACCCAAAGCACAGCAATCATGTCAGAATCGCTGAGTTTGTCATCTTCCTCCAAGTCAAGCAGAACATCAACAAAATCTCCAACCTTTTCCTTCTCAAAGTCGTCACCTTTCGCCCTCTCTAGCCGATGCTCTTCGATGATCTTTCCAACGAAAACATTCACTTTCAAAACCAAATTTCTACACCTCTTCCTTACACCCTGCAAATCCAACCAACCCAAAAAAGGAAAATGGTTGCTCCAGTTAAAAACTCCGAGTAGTTCATACCCTTCAGTCACCAGACTCTCGAGCTCCAGCCCATCTCCGCCCTTGTCGAACTCGTAGCATCGCCCAAAAACTGTCATCATAACGTTGTTGAGAGAACCAAAATGGAGCACCTTTTTCACCTGAACCTCACCGTTCTCCGTCATCAAACGCTTCAGCTCCTCCACCATTTTCATCCCCACTTCACGTCGGAAAACCTCGGAGCCGGCGATTCTTTTCGGACTGAACAAATGGGTCGCCGAAATCCTCCTCAGATTCCTCCAGTACTCTCCGTACGGCGCGAACCCCATTGCTCTGTGGAAAAGTAGCTCGTAGGCCGTCTCGTTCACGGGGCGGTTAGCGAAAGCTGTGCTGTTCAGCATCTCTTTAGCCGTCTCCGGGTGGCTTGCGATCACAAACCGCGTCAAACCAACGGAGAAAGACATCAAAGACTCGGCCTTGAAGCTCTTAGCCAACTTGGCGAGCACACGGTGACGAGTTAACCCAGTGAAAACCGTGAGCGACCCAATGAACGGGTATCCAGTTGGACCCGGAATCGCCCGGAAGGCTCGTACCTTGCAGAGAGCCCAGGCGAAACCGCCGGGAGCGAGGCAGAAGGCGCAGACCGCCGTGAGGAGCAGAAAACAGGCAAATGCCTCGAACCCCAGAACGGAGGAGTGAAGAACCGACCTGGGTACGAACAGTAGGTGATTTTCGACAGACATTTTGATTAGGGTTTTAGAGAGCGGTTTTTTTCAGAGTGGGAGAGACGAAGGCAGAAGAGCAAGCACAGGGGACGAAGAGCGTGAAATGGGGTAGTTAAATAGATGAAGTTGGTGGGATGAGTTTAACCGTGGTAAAAAGATAACTTGACTGGGGTTAAAAGAGGACGGTTCTGGTCGACCAAGAATCAATTTCGAAATCGTAGATGCGTCCCGTCCATCCGATTACGATTCTCGAGATGGAGCCCACCACGGAGGGTCCCACGTCTTTCGAAATGCACTTTTGTTCTAGTTATAGTAACGAGAGAGGGAAGGGCAACCGTTGGAACGGTATTTACGTTCAAAATTAAGGACACGTGTAAGTATTAGAAACCGATGGAGGCAAACAACGTCGTTCTGGTTTCGTTCGTTAAATAGTGAATATATTAAACAAATGTCGATTAGTCCATTATTAATCCTAGGGAGAATAGGATTATATATAATTATTGAGATTGTATTGATATATTTGTCGATGGATATTTGCGTAATGAATGACATGGATCTTATTGACATGATAAGCTGTCTCATTGAAGTTTTTTTTTTATCTCGTAGCGACTAGGGGAGTGATATTTTTACGAGTAGGGAGAGATGGCTGTGGGCGAGGAGGATTCGAACCCTGACCCAATTCAAATTATAGAGCTACAACATAGAAATAATTGATTTCAGTTAAGAAAATAGTAAACGTCTATCTATATATACATAAGAACACTGTATTATGAAGTGTGAAGTGGAAGTGCCACACCACCTATATGTCAAAGAATACACCCCCTTGCATTTCCATGGACTTAAAAACCAACGAGGCAGATGATGTACATTTTGAGCAAACGGATAACGTGATATAACACTATGTTTTCAAGGAAAACATTCATAAAACACGTTCGTCACATAACATTTTGATGCACTAACTGAATGTCATAACAAGATACTATTGAGTGTTGAGGTCGGTGCAATTATTGTCGTTAATTTGAATTGGTGGAATTTGTAAACCAAAATTACCCCAAAAGGACAACGTTGATGAGTTTTGGTCCTTCTATAACATAGAGAATCAATATACATCGTATGGATTTGCATTTCCCAACTAGTTTTGTTGGTTTAAAATATTTCTGGCCAGAAACCAGAATGCAAAATACTAGTTTGGTTTCAAGTGGTGACGTGTATGTGAAGTACAGAAAGCCCCATGCACTCTATAAAGTGTTGAACAAGCAAAAAGCTGTGGCCTAGAAAGAAAGATAGCTGCAGCAGAGATTGCAGTCTGCACCAAATGGCAGCAAGTGAGGCAGTGGCGCATGCTGTGTACCTGCAACACCAACACCACCGTGTCTGCTATACACTCAAGAGAGAAAAGGAAAACGAAGAGACAGCTTACTTAATACGAGTTCATTGTTATGTCGTATTTTGATTTAATAATACGTTATATTTTATTGAGGCACACATGGTTGAGGATAAAAAATTGTAATTATGTAAATGTTTTATAGCTTGCTAATAATGCATTGTTGTGCCCGGTGAAATTGATATAATAATAGATTAATAGATTCCAAATCAACCAGTTAACCAGTTGGTTTGTTGTCAGATAATACATTAGAAACCTGCTAACGAGTCGATTCATTATTGGATAACCGTCAAAAATCCTATAATATGTCGTTTTGTAGATCTAAACATCAGACATAACGATTTATTGCATGACTTATTATACCAACAAAAAATAACACGACTTCCGTCAATTGTTAAAAATTTGTTAAGATAACAGATTTGACATGATAAATTTGTTAAAAGAATTGTTATTAATACTTTAAAAATCTCATTTGATACTTCAAACTTTCTATAATTATAAAAAAAAAATACACTTATGAAGAATATAGAATGAAAATTTTGAAATACTAATAACAGATTCCTTTCTTAAAATAATTAATATACATGAAAAAGACATAAACGCGACAAACAAAATCTGATTGCAAGGACGATGAATGAGTCATTGGAGTGGTCAATGAGTAAAACGATTTCCTGAGATTTTTCTCTCTCTGTTTTCCTTTTCCAGTAAGAAGGAGTACAGTGGAGTATGTACGACAGTTTTTACGGTGCCGTCCTGCTTTGTCAGTCCCAGTAACCAACGGAGGAGGATTGTCTGCCCTCTAAGTTCCCGTGCCCTCTTATGCCCTCCTGATTGTGTGGTCACGGTTAAACCACGTTAATAATTTATATTATTATTCATTTTTATCTTATTATTTCTATAAAAAAATAATATAAAATATTAACGTGGCTTAACCGTGACCACACAAAACAGAAGGGTATGGAAGGGCACCGAAACTTGGAGGGCAGACAATCCTCCTCTGTAACCAACGGCCTTCTCTTTTGCTACAGCTCTCTCTCTCTCTCTCTCTCTCTCTCTCTCTCTCTCTCTCTCTATATTAATGTATTATTTACTGCTACCTCGAATGATGGTCCTTTTCGAATCCTCTTTGTGAGGATCACGAGAATCTTTATATTATGTCCGTTTATGATAACGTTGCAATATCATAAATCATTTTAAATATTTATATTTAAAATTAAACATAAACAATACCTGATAAAAATTGACCGTACGATATACAATAAACGAACACGAGATAAGAATTCTCACATCCTCACAAAAAGTATCCGAAGAAAGTCCTCACAAAGAGGCGTTGACCTCAACAACCTTTGCATTTTTGGTCCGTTTTGGAAAATGGGGACATTGATTTCCTTAATTCCAAGAAAACAAATAGCACCCAGCGCAAGTGCAGCGGCGGGGGAGGGGGGGGGGGGGGGGGTTTGGTCTTGTAACTTCCTTATTAGGGTTTACGGGTTAGGGTTTAGTTGGAGTTTGGAGTTAGGGTTTGGTCCGTCTTGTATTTTAGTTTGCATTCAAAGAGAAGAAATGAACCGTTTTTATTTAGGGTGTCAGGTGTTGAAGGAATTAAAAGTTATTGTCAAAAAGCCAAGCCAAGACTTGCTTATTTTGTTTATCACTTGATTTTTCACGTTATACACATAATTTAATACAACGGTTCAAAAATCTTTATCGTGACTTGTTTTTTGATTTATGTTTATTGATATCAACGATGAATATCTTTAACGAGTTAATTCAATAGTGTCAAATCATGATTTATTCATAATTCAAGGACAAGAAACTCCAAGAGATTGAGTTGAGATACAAAATCTAGGGAGAAGCAAAGGACAACATAACCCGCCCCGTGATAGACATTGCCGCCGGACAATAAAAGCCACCTTCTTTATGGTAAGGATGAATTTCATTGAACTGGGCACAGAAACGGCATTGGCACATACTTTTACATCCCCGCCATGTCCCATAAATATAGCATTTAATTTATAATTGCAAACAAAACAAAGCCATTTAATACATTTTTAAATCTTGTCATTTAGTACTACAGTCAAATGGTATTCATTTTCATTTGTAAGTGAGTGATTTTAGGTTCGATTCTCGTTAAAGACAAATTCGAACCACATTATTGTTAGCTCATTGTGAGGCTTATCCCACTCTCCTACCCTCTTAGTGTAAATAATATCGTTTGTTAAAAAAAAAAATAATGTTACTCATACCATGTTTTTGTACCACATTTTCATACCACCTTAGGTGGTATTTGATGTGGACATCCACATCATTTGAATTAATCATATTTTTAAATTTAGTTCATTTTTTAGAAAACTAATAATTAAGAAAAACTAGTTAATTAAATAATGATTGCGGTATACGAGTCTTTCTCCTTCATTTCCTTGAGTTGCAAATTTTTTAAATGATGTGGTTGTCCACATCAGATGCCACCTAAGATGATATAGAAATGTGATATAAAAATATGATATGAATAACATTACTTTAAAAAAAATACATTTTCAAACTCTAGCAGACTTCCTTCCCCTCTTCATTCTTCCAGTATCAAAACCACAAATGTTGATTTACATGACTAGGTTAGCACCTTTTGTATTTCGAGTATCTTAGATAACGAATTTAATATTCAAATGTGGTTAACATAATACATAAATTTGAATCACATTATTGCTAGTCCATTATGAAACTAAGCTCAGCTTCCACCTCCTTAATGTATATTATATCGTTTATTAAAAAAAAAAACAATACATAAATTAATCGAAACTCTCATTTATAATAATGTTGGATCACGTAAAAGGAAAAGTCACTTGACTAAAATAGTGTGTTCGTTTTTATAATTCGAAATTGATTTTTTTATGATAGTTTTTGGGGAGTGCATTTTTGCTCACCACTCTATTTATCACCATTAGATGAGTTTGAATTTTGATATTTGTGTCTATCTATTACACGAATCTCAAAATTCAAACTCATTTAATAGTTTATAATGATGAATAGAGTGGTGTAAATACACCATAATTTATATCGATGAACAAAAATACTCCCATTTTTTTTATCTCTGCCTTGGCCATTCCATGAAAAAATTTATCATCGTAAATTAACGTAGTTTAAAATTTCGTCAATAAAATGTAATCCAATTATTTAAGTTTTCTAGTACAAAGTGATAGAATGTTACATTAAAAATAATTGAGTGTCTGAATTTTCTTTAGTGCACACAAAAATGCATATTTAAGTTATATATTTGAACGAGAGTTGTTAGATCATTTAACTTTAAAAAAGACGAAAGAAGAGGCCCATTGGTCAGTGTAAGAAATAACAGGCCCGTATTTATCCGGCCCAACCCATGCCTCTTGCTTGTTCCTACCAAAACCAACGGCACTGCTCACATTCAAAGGCAACCGCCTTATTCCGCCCCAGAAGCCCAAAGCGTCGATCATCCTGTACTAACTCAGTGAGTCAGGTAAACACAAATTTCTTCAAATTTTGTTTGGTTGCTGAGAAAATTGAGGATTGAAAATTCTAATAATTTCGACTTTGAATCTAACTACCCAATTTTTCGAGATTAAAAAAAAAAAAGAAAAAATCTAGTAATCGTCAGGGATCTTGCCCAAATAGCATTCTCTCTTACTTGTTAGCTAAGATTTTCTTAATTTCCCAATATTAATGTGATTGAAACTGTAGTGATTCACAAAAGTGGGTGCTTCATTTCTTTGTTGTGATGATTAAAAACGTTATTGTGAATTACGTTTCATTGGATGCAATGTTCAGTAATTTGCACAGAAACTGTTTGTGAAAATGCTTCATAGGCCATGTTTGTATTTGTTTTGATCGTGTAAAGGTTAAATGGTTGCTGAAATTTGCATGTAAGGATTAGGATTGCAAGAAAAGCGGAGAATTGCCATGTTAGGAAGTGCTCGTGTTCGGCTGAACCGGTGGCAGCAGGTGGCTGTTGCGGTCGGTTCAGCTGCGGGTGCATTGCTGGACCCAAGCAGAGCTGATCTCATTGCAGCTCTTGGAGAGACTACTGGGAAGCCTGCATTTGAGAGAGTTCTCGAAAGAATGAAGAGGAGCCCTGAAGGCAGAGTAAAACCTCGTCTTCTCTATTCTTATCCGTCTTAGTTACTAATTACATTTCGGAATGGTTATCTATCAATCGAAAATGATATCATGAAATAACATGTTCTACGTATGTTTACGAAAGTTGTTCACGTAAATGTGGTCATAGCTAATCATGTTGCTTCTTCTTAGCCATCTGATTTATTTTTTATCGACGAAGGTGTTGTAGTTTTCTGTTCTTTGATTGTAACACGTTCTTCGTGACTCTGCTTGTTTGTAGAGTGGCGTAACGTAAACTTTCTTCTCTATAACACTAATTTAGATAATTACTCCAACATAAGTCATATTTTAGCCGTTCGTGTAGAAATTGCAATATTGTTCTTTGTGTTGAATGCTGCTGCTCTTGGTTCATATGTGACCTTTATAGTGCGTGTTATCTTCCGTTATACGTCTGCTTTTGTAGCATTACTTACAATGCGTTTGTTATCGAACTGATTCTTCTTATGTATACTGTTTTGCGTTGTTTTTGCCACCAGTAACAGACTTAGAATGGTCCGAGATATCATAATTTCATTGCTAATCCATTTGCTTGCTAGATTTCTTGTTGTCATCCATAGTCGAATGTGTTTCTTTCTTTGCAGGCCATACTGTTGGAGCAACCCCGTGTAATATCTGTAAATGTGGGTTATGCATGGGATCTACCAGAAAACACATTTGGCGCCACCTATGCAAAGTTCATGGGATCCAGGAACTTCTCGCCAGATGATCGACCGCCTGTGCGGTTCATGGAGACAGATGAGCTTCCATATGTGGCCATGAGGGCTCGGGAGGTGCACGACTTCTGGCACACGCTTTTTGGCCTTCCGACGAACTTGATGGGGGAGTCAGCACTGAAGGTAATAGAGTTTGAGCAAATGTACCTTCCCATGTGCTTGATGTCCGTCATAGGGGGATCGGCGAGATTCAACGGTAAGCAAAGGAAATTGTTCCTTCAACACTACTTCCCTTGGGCCGTCCGAGCTGGAATGCAGTGCACAGATCTAATGTGCGTGTATTACGAGCAGCACTTTCACGAGGATTTGGATTATGTTCGGAGAAAGTGGGGTATAATTCCTGCCCCTGCTCCTCCTAAACAAGCCTGATCATCAGCTGCTTCAGCTTGTTTGGTAGAGAAACTGTAAAATTCTTGAGCATTTCGTTGTCCTCTTAAATTTACGCTTTTCGTTTTGCAGAAAAATGCAACCGATAAATGCAACCGCGCGCTCCGTAGGCCTGTCCCCGGCCAGGCACGGCGTTTCCAATCATCATCGAACTTTAGAAAACAACAGAAATGACCATGTATCAATGGAAAACAGAAATGAATCAGTGACAAAACAACAGGTAACACGAAATATGCACTAGGAAATGTTTGGTTTGTCGATGAAAACGAAACCTGTATCAGATGGTTTATCCATCTAAATAGATCATTCTTGACTGAATGATCCAAACAACCACAAGATCTATATTACATGACAGAATCCACAAAGACTTCCATTGTTTTATATAAAAAGGATGAAGGCATTGCCTCGTCCGGCATGGAGGTTTCACAAAATTCAACGTTACGAAGGGCATGTCTGTCTCAGTTACCACCTGGTCCACCGAAGAGGTAACCCAGAGAAGATCCACCACCTGGGGCAGCATGGACCTTGGTCGAGGGTCGGTCCTGCACACAAGGAAAATCAATAAGAACATCGGTAAACAGAGATTGCGCATAAAACAGAACGAGAACGTTACAACAAACAATGTTTTCAGTTGAGAGACAAGTTTTAGGGTGGAGGAATGAAGAGGAAAATGCCAGTTTCAGCATAAATATAAACTGTTGTCACTGTACCGTTTGGAGATCGGATTTCACACGAGTAACTACTTTCTAGAGAAAATGGCTTCACTGCAGCATAAACACAACACTATTTGGATAACAAATTCAAAATTAAAGAAAAAATTGGGGATTCACGGGGCTATATCTGTAACCGCGTAAGTAAACTAGGTTTTGTCTAAAAGCCTATACGCATCAGAAACAACTGTAATGTTATTTGTAGAAGACAATGAGAAGAACCATACCGTAATGAAGTTTCCGGTGTTCTGGCCATCTGCACGCATGTAGTTGTTTGTGGAGGTGCTATGGATACCAGCAGGAATAGCCTTGGTGATATCAACTGGTTCAGGAGGAGGAGCAGGAGCAGTAGGCTTGGAAGCAGGCTCATTGCTCACAGCCCTCCCTTCATTTGGAACTGGCGCATCTTGAGCATTGTTGGCAGCTGGTTTCGGAGCCTCTCCACTCCCAAAAAGATAGTTCAAAGAACTCTGACCCCCACCGCTGCTAACTCCGCGACCCATGTTCTCCAACTTCTTCACAGATACCCTGAACTCTAGTGTTAGTAACAAATGTTTAGAGTGGAATTCCGGAAAAAGAACAAATATTTCAAGAAAATATACCAAAAGCTATGTGCCAACAGGAACAATTACAATAAATCCGAACAAAATTCTTTGAAATCAAACAACTCTACATGATGGTAATTCCGTTTTATAAAACATACCATGCACAACAAATTCGAACGAAATGGAAGAAACAAAAATCTTAGAATCTGCACCATGAACTTCAAGGCTCAAACTTTCAACATTGGTAGGCCGAACAATTCCATTTCTCTTCAATTTTTAATCTTTTCTTCACAAATTTTAAAACCCAATTGATCATTTCAGCTAAATTACACACACGGAAGCTCAATTCAACATAATGTAGCCTCGATGCAAAAGCTTTTCGGTATGAAAATCGAACAGACAGATCCACGATGAACTGTTCATCCTATAAATCTCAAAAAATCAGAAGCAAAAGAAACGCCTCATCAAACACCAGCACAAATCAAAACATATACATTCTAAAAAAAAATAAGCATATATATAGATCTAACAAAAGAAATGCACCTCATCGTTCTACCAACTCGATCAAACACTTTCACCCCAAAAAATCCAGCGATCAAAATATCAAAATTATTCATTAGGAAAAGCATCAAATCAAACACAGCACACAGTAAAATCGGGCAAAAAAAGCGAGGAATTGAAAGCGAAACGCAGCGATTGAAACATGGAAATCAAAATCCAAGAAGGGAGGCAGAGATCTAGGGTTAGAGAAAGCGGCGCGTGGGGTACCTGGTTGTTGGGATCAGATCTGGACGGAGAGCTGTGGAAGCAGAGAGTGTTGAGCTACTGGAGACGGACGGCAAGACCACACGCCACTTCTATGCGTTATATACAAATGTGAGTGTAGATACACTGTCACTGTTTTTCAAATTTATTATTATTATTATTATATTTTTTTTAGAAAAAAACAGAATTTAAAAACTTTGAATTTTAACGAAAATAACAAAATAAAAGGTAAAATAAATAGTATCATGATTGGTTTTTTAGTGTAAAAATATGATTTTTCGTTAAAGTAAACAGTACCGAGAACTTTTCGTTAAAATTTTTTTTTTTTAAGGAATTCGGATTTTATTTTATAAATATTTCAATGTTCACAAATTTAAATCCTACCAGGAAAAAGTAAATGGAAATTTTATCTAGATCCATTTATCTTCTTTTTACACTCAATTTATTATTTATTATTTTGAAATTCTAAATGTGCTCAATAATTCTCTTTCTATACCCAACAAGCAAAAAAAGAAAATAATAATAATTTAGCAATAAGCAACTCCAGCCACTCTATCTCTTCAAACCTCAATCATCCAAGTTTTAACCTCCCCAACTCCCCACCACCACCACCACCACCCTTACCACCCACAACAATTTGGAAATTATAACATTATTCCCAACAACCCACGATTAAAAAACCCAAAAGAAACATGTCAGAATTTTTTTTCTTTTTGGAAGAATTTACGGTATTATTAACATATGGTTCAACACAATTATATTTGACATGTCGACAATTTCGGCGTAATTCGGACATGTTGGAAGGATTGCATGCAAGAGAAAGCTAATGTGTGGCCGGCGAAAGGTCGGGTGGGTTCGATCATGGTCGCAAATGCTCATTGCATGATCTTCTTGTGTTGATACGAAAAACCGCCTGACGCCGCCGTAATTCTCGTCGGAAAGAGAGAGCTTCTCTGTTACTGGTGCCAAAGGGGTTGGCCTCATTGAGACTGATGCCACTGCAACATCCTGGTTTGGATTAAGGAACACAAAAATTAGCTTCAATATCAAACAATTTGCAAGTCAAACAGATTGGACTTCATCAGTTGTATGATGAAAACAAACAGATTGGACTTTATCAGTGTACATATTCCTGTATCTTGTCTTCAAGTTCAGGTTCATCGTTATGGCGTAATTCTCGTCATCGTTAACCTATCACTACCATCTGTATCAACAGTTTCAAGTTGCAATCTCGCTGAAACAATGCGTAGGAAACCTGAAGAAAGTAAACGGTATCCAACATGGATTTAGCTAGCTTTAGATGCTTAGCATCGACAGCATGTCAACCAAACGCTACAACAGCACTTCTCGTCACGTCATGTTGCAATTGTGAAGCCGTTGCAGGGGGCTGCTTGGTTGGACAGGATTAAGCTCTTCCAGAATGCTCTAGTTCACGAGTAGGCGGCGGATGGACCACATGGTCCAGGCTCTGAGCAACTAATCAACCAGTCAACCTATCTCAACATTAGACAACATCGCATGCCAGCATCAGATATCCAAGCCACCGATTCTGCAACCACTCCTTATTTTGTTGCACGTCAGGATCAGGCATAAAAAAAAAAAGCGAATGGCAGTAGAGCTTTCAAACGAATCATCTGAGCCATGCCTGCATGTAATATGGTACTAGTAAAAACTTCATAAAAACAAAGAAAAAATTCACTGCAGATGGTGCAGACAACAATGGCATCTCCGAATAATCCAATAAGCATACCTCTTCGCACTACCTTCAATTCTGCATGGCATAGAATTGAGGAGCAAGCTCAGTTAACCACAAAAAGTCGATTCTAGTTGTGTTGCGGATGAATTTTCTACTAGTTTCGACCAGTTCATTGTAAATTAGGCACTCTGGTCTATTTCTTAACACAGAAGACGGGTGGATAGAAACCACCTCACCATTTGCTAAAGCCCTGTCATTTGATTAGTTAACTGTGAGAGATCGTACATGATTCCAAGAGAGAACTAAATAATATACATATAAGGGTACAAGCTTCGAAATGTAAATGAAACCAACCAAAAGAATTTCAAAACATTTCAAGGTAAGTTCAAGACCTGTATGTTCCATCAGGCTGCTTTAAAGCTGCATTGAGGAAGAAAGAAGCGGCAAGACATCTGCAAAACTGAAGCACATCATCCCCACAAGAGGTGATACGGAGACCCATTTGTTCAACATGCCCTCGAATTTGTCTGCAAACAAACATCTATTACACTTAGAGAAGCCAATTACTTCAATCCACACCACAATAGACACACCGATCTTCCAATACAGGGGCAAAAAATCTAGTCTGATTGTGTGAGACCAGCAGAAACATGTCTATAGCTCAACAAGTAAGAAAAATAGCCGACCTGTGAATGTCACGAGCATTTGTCAAGGAGCGACTATGAATGAAATTATCCTTGCACCATTTCCGGAAGGCTTTTTCACGCTTCTCTTTACTAAGACCTGATCTCTTCTCCAAGAACTCATTGGATGCTCGATATACATTAACCAAAGTGAGGTGGTCTCCCTCTGGACTTGCAAAGGATTTCTGCGCAGTTCTCACCTGACAACAGGAAGGATGTATAACAAGTTAGCGTAGTATTGTAAAAGACAACAATTCACCGTATTGTGAGATCATGAAAAGAGAAGCATAACTACACTAATATAGCTTCATTCATATCAGTGAAGTAACAAGATTATATTTAACTATATTGTGTGGGAGAAATTGGAAAGAGAGAATGAAATCTCAAGAATACTTCTAATCCACTTTCAAACTATATATAATCTACGAGAAATTAACAGGAGACAGATAAGTAAATGATTCATACACAAATACCTCTTCTATTTTGTCACGGGGATTAAAAAATATTGATTCCACCGAAAGCATTGCAACACTTATCAACATCTCTTCCAGGCAATTGAATTCACTTGCTACGATTAGAGCCTTTGAATAAATAGGGTCTAAGGGAAGGCGAGCCATTTGGATTCCAACTGGATTTGACAATTTGCAGTCGTCTGTCAAAGCACCCAGTACGAACAATTGCTCCAGTGATTTGACAATAGCCGACCTGTTCAAATAAGATTCATGTATGATAAAATTCTCTGGGAGATAAAAAAAATCAATATTTATTAGAAGACTGCTTGACAAAAACAAATAAAGCTGCCACCTGCTTTCTACCATCAAGCCACAAAAGGCATCATAAGAAACAAACAAATAACAAAACCTATCAAAGATTTTACCTCGACGGTTTTTCTATGAAGTCAAACCCAGTGATATCATCAACACCCAGCGCCTTAAGTTGCAAAATGACATTAGAGAGGTTGCATCGCTTGATCTCTGGCTTTGTCGAATCCTCAAGTTTGCCAAATTGATCTTCTGGGTAGAGGCGGAAGCATTTCCCCGGTCCTTCTCTTCCAGCACGCCCACTGCACAATGAAAGCATTTGTCATACAAAGTTATATGGTCTTAAGCATCAGTTCAACACTTCAAATATCCACAGGTAAATTTAATTTGATGACATTGCACTGTATAAAGTGTTTACAAAATGAGCTGGCAAAGAAATCTAAAAATTTGTATAACATAATTTTAGTTTTTTTTTAATTTTTGATAAAAACATAAATATAAATTAATAACTTCAATTGTCCTTGAAACTGATATTTTATTTTTAAGAATTCTTGTTAGATCCCCTCTGACCAACTATTTACCTCCTTTGAAGAGCCTGTGCTTTTGAAACTGGAACAACAACCAATGATTCCAACCCTTTGTTTGGATCATAGTAACGTGCTTTTACAAACCCAGGATCTACAACATACTTGATTCCAGATATTGTCAATGATGTCTCAGCAATATTTGTTGCCAATATTACCTAACAGAACAATGTAATATTATTAGAGATCACCAAATGAATATACATCATAAACCTTCTTTTGAGTTCCCCGTGATCAAGTTCATGAAAAGAACAACTTTACACGAACAAATATGTAAGATACTCAAACCAAAGGGGTAGACAATTAGACAATTTGAGGGGGTGAGGTAAGTGACTGTAAATATCTTGGGGGTGATATTTGCTCTTCACTTGAAACTTTGTTATGCAACAATCACAAAATATCTTGATGCTTCCTATTCATATACAAAAGCTAATGGACAAGTTACCTTACGAAATCCAGGAGGGGCTGGTGCAAAAACTCGCATTTGATGTTCTGATGAAAGAGATGAGTATATAGGAACAGCTACTAGTTTTTGACTGTTTTCTGGTAACTGTTTAAGTCTTTCTTTGACAAGTCTTTCTGCAGATTCAATTTCTTCTTGACCCGTCAAAAATACAAGTATATCACCAGGGCCCTCCTCCAGGTGAATCTAACACCACAGATATATAAATAGAGTTATATTATAAGAACATGTACATTATTAAGGAATAATCAGGACCTGCTCCAGATTAATCTAACACCAAATACTGATGAAGGGCACTAAATACCTGCAATATTGTGGTTAACGAAGCATCAAGATAATCTTGTATAGAATGATGTGTATAAAATATATCCACGGGAAACTGTCGCCCTTGGATGTGAACAGCTCTTGCACCACCGAAGTACTCAGAGAAAATTTTTGCATCCAAGCTGGCGGACATGATGATTAACTTCAACGGGGTCCTTCCTTGGTATTGCTTGAGAAAACGGAAGCCCTGAGCACCGTTTTCTTTCGACTGCATGTCATCGTTTGTTTTCTGGTTTTTAGTATTCTGGAGGTTGTTGAGGGATTTTGACCTTGCATCTTGTACATTTTTCAGCAAGCCTAGTAGCACATCTGTCTGGACAGTTCTCTCATGAGCTTCATCAACAATTATAACTGAATACCTAGAGAGATATGGATCCAATAGTGCTTCCCTGAAAGTGTTCCAACCGTTATATCAGTTCATAAAAATCATATAACTAAGCCAAAGTCTACATCTAGACAGACTCCAACGTGGTTTTACACCAACCGAAAAGCGACTTTCTTACTGAGAACTCTCTCCACATGCACCAAAAATGATTGTAAAGCATGTTAATGAAGCTTCTGGATGGAAGTCTCAGAGAGAGAATATATCGCCTAACCAAGTTATTCATAGATTTACCTCAGTAGCAATCCATCTGTCATGTACTTGATCCGTGTTGAACTAGAAGTCACGTCCTCGAATCTAATGGAGTAACCAACCTTCTGACCCAAATTACCGCCACATTCCTCAGCAACCCGCTTCGCCACAGTCATTGCAGCCACACGCCTAGGTTGAGTTACCCCAATGACTTTTCCGTCCCCGGAAAACCCAGCATTGAACAAAAACTGAGGTAATTCTAGAGAAACAAAAAATAGATTATACCACAGGAAAAACAACATCGAGCTGAAAGCTCGGAACTACAAAAATCAAATAAATACAGAAATTCGAAGAAAAAAACAATCTGCACATAAATACATATTCGTAGATTTATACAAATATATATATAGACTACATACGTGTTGTTTTTCCGCTTCCCGTTTCGCCAACAATAATCAAAGTATCGTGCTTCCGAACCTCCTCGATTAGCCGATTTTCAACTAGTAATCAAACAACACCAGTAATTACACTCCTAGGACAATCACTAAACAGAAACAAAAACGATTAATTAAAGTAATTGGAGTCTCAGATAATACCAGAAGCGATTGGGAGGGACTTCCTGTGCTGCGCGAGCGCTTTCCTCCTAGAATTAAAAAATCAAAGACCTTTTAACATTTTCGGGTTTTCTGAGCAGCCAAACAGAAAGTAAGGAGATTAAAGGTGCTTACTTGGTGGCGAGGGCATCGACGTTGCCGTTGCCGTTGCCGGCGGAGAATTGGCGGTTAGGGCTTTTCATGGAGTTGTTCGGCCGTCCTTGGCCTTGAGCCATGGCGGTGGGTTTAGGGCTTTGGCGCAAAAGGCAGTCACAGTTTGAAGCACGTGCAAAATTTTGTTTTCGAATGCCGCACGTGCGAACGTAGGATGGGAGTTGTGTTTGTTTTACTCTGGTTGTGAACTTGTGAGGGAGTAAAGCGGAGTTGAAAGCCTATATGAAACGTGTAAAGCCAATAATGCCCTTACTTTTGTGTAATCTATAAGGGCAAAAGAGACATTATATTCTTAAATACCCGTGATTATTTGACAAAAATACAAAAAAACCAAACCAACCCAAACCACTTAGTTGGATTTGGAAAAATAGAAAGAAAAAAAACCAAACCAATCCAAACCAGGTTGGTTTGACTTGCAAAAGTACAAAAAATGACAATGAATTAACCAGGGCAAGAGATGCCAAAGACAACAATGAAAGCCAAACAATAGGCAAACAACCATAAAACAGACATGAAGTACAAGGGGGTAGAAAACCCTCGAAATGTCCCCCTTTGCACCCCCAACACAAAATTAAGGCAGGCATGGTAAACCATCATTATTCAGTACATGCACTAACAAAGATGGGGGTAGATCAACCCAAGACACATCACACATCTCCACACATCTACGCGACGCCAAATGGTCAGCCGCCAAATTGGCTGATCTTGGAATTCAAGACCAGCGACGGTCCTGAAAGGCTTTCCCAAGCTTCAAACACTTCGCTAAAATAGGAAAAGCCCCCCATCTACCATCAGAGATTGTTCCCCACAAACATGAAATGGTTGCCTGAGAATCAGATTCAACAACAACATAGATCAAACCCAATGAGAGACCCAATTCACAGCCACACTTCAAAGCCAACGCTTCAGCACCAGCAACAGAAAGTTGCACATATCCTCTTTCTGCGAGCAGCAAGGAAATTGCTCAAAGGACACCGAAAATAAGAATATGTGTCAAAAATTGGGCTTCTCTATCGAGAAACCTCTCATATTACACATAATTACAGATACAAAGCTTGAAAATCACATCAAAACAAGGCTCTTTCAAACGGAAACTGCTGCAAAATAATATAGTACACATCTAACACTTTCAGGTACTACCTATGTTGAGTAAGAAATCCTTTTGCAATTGAAATACTTGGCACTCGATTCTTAAGCAATACCAAAAGCCAAATATGAATCGACATCTGCTTTCGTTAATGCTGGCTTTAACGAATCTTTTGCAGTCTGGAAATGACGATTACAAACAACAGTGGCTGATATGTCTTCCCTCAGAGCTACTATTCCTGCTTCCCTGCATAGACCCTCCAGCTCCGCTCCTGTGAAGTGCTCAGTATCTTTTGCTATGCGTTTGAGATCAACATCATCTCCTACTCTCATGTTACGAGTATGTACCCGAAGTATCTCATATCGACCTTCTAAATCTGGTGGTTGTACAAAGAGCACCTAGAATTTGAAGAAAATAAAGAGTTAACGCATCTCTTTGACATACTGCTGAGATTTGGTTTGTAGAAATTTTTTCTCTAGACCTCGGTAACCATTCATATGATAAAACAAAATCTTTACCAAATCAAAGCGTCCAGGGCGAACTAGTGCAGCATCAATTGCATGAGGACGGTTTGTAGCAGCCAAAACAAAGACTCCCTAAAAACAAATGAAAAAACAATTTTAAAGCCACAAGAAAATGAGAACTGATGCAGCATTGATACCTCTCACAGATTGATTTTGAAATTACAGCAGCAGTAAAAGAATTTAATGGGGTACTGCGCTTACCTTAGCCTCTTCTAAACCATCCATTTCGGTCAGCAAAGTAGAAAGAAGCCTTTCTCCAACAGTACTGCTGTTGCTTGAACTCCCACCTCTGCACATTCAAGGAAAACAAAGAAAGTTATGAAACTTGTACTGCTGTTCTTCGTCAGGTTATGCAAACTTGTTCTAGTTGATACAAAATAACAAATCATCATGTTAATGGTCAATCCCACAACAAAGAAGGCTACTGGACAATTGCAGCATACTAAGTTACTAACCTTTTGGCAGCAACAACATCCGCCTCATCAAAGAATACTATGCTGGGTGCTGCAAGGCGAGCTCTCCGAAAGGTATTACGCAGCAAAGCTTCACCCTCTCCAACGTACATTGAAAACAATTCTGCACCACTGATTCAAACTTTATGAATTTCAGGCATGCAACTCTTAACAAATTTGTCAAACTATGGAAGAAGTTCAAACCTCAAAGAAAAAAACGAAGCTTGGGCAGCATGTGCAGCGGCTTTAGCAAGAGTGGTTTTCGAGCATCCCGGAGGACCATAAAGAAGAATTCCACGCATGGGTGATATTCCCAGCCTTGAAAACACAGAAGCATATTTAATGGGCCACTCAACAGCTTGCTGGAGCTTTTTCTGTCAACAAGAAAGGCAAAATATAATTAGTACCATGAGACTTCAGCCTGAGGTGAAAACAAACAAGCAAAAACTTACACACCTTTAAATCATTCAACCCTCCTATGTCTTCCCATGTCACCTTGGGAACTTCCACTGTGACACCTCTTGTTATACTTGGACTAACCACAGACCTTGCATGCTTCCAGTCTTCTATTGTTAAGCTAAACGCACGAGCATCTTTATTTGCGTCTGAATGTCTTTTAATTGCAGACATAGCAGCCTCACGACATAAAGCTTCCAGGTCCGCCCCAACAAATCCATTGCAAGATGCAGCTATGCCTTGTAGATCAACATTGGGATCCAAAGGAACTTTTCTTGTGTAGAGCTGAACATTCATTGGCATTGTTATACTTGGAATTTAGTGAACACTAGGTGGAATTTCGATGAGTTGATTGCCATTATTGAAAAAGTAAGCCACGTTATCGCTTATAAATTTTTTAAAGCATCACTCTAACCTTTAGAATTTGAAAGCGTTCTTCTTCCATAGGTGTAGTAACTTCAACTTCAACATCAAACCGCCCAGACCTTCTGAGTGCTGGATCGATTGCTTCGGCTCTTTGTATGTCAAAACCAGATATTAATATATTTGGAAAATAAGACGAAATAGTATAAAAAACCACTTCATATGTACTAACTAGAGCATAAATCACAATGTAAAGCCATGAATTCTTCTGCAAATTGGCTTTAATGGCAATGTGATAATGAGAATGCATAGAAAATTTATGACGACATAGTACCAAAAATTTCAAAACCATGGTGAAATAATAGATCATATCTCTCATGAAACAATCAGAATTTGTAGGCATGATTAAACATTATCAACTATTCAACTCTAGAAGAAACAACATACCTGTTGGTGGATGCAACAACCACAACCTGTGGTACTGATGCTGAGGATGTCTTGGAGTCCATCAGCGTAAAGAGTTGCGAGGCAATACGAACATCTTGCTCTCTTCTGCAATTCAAACATAACTTAACCATGTTAAGCCAGGCATGTCCGAAGTTCATTAGAGTTCACTCTAGCACCACTGGTTGTTACCTAGAATCACGGCGAGGACAGAGTGCATCTATTTCATCTATAAAGATAACAGATGGCTTGCCTGACAATGTACGTGAGGAAGCCTCTGCAAAAGCCTCCCGTAAAAATTTCTCACTTTCTCCGGCATGTGCTTTGTGGACAGAATGTGGACTATAGGAAAATAAACGAAATTAAAACCATGACAACATAATATCATAATCCTAACTTAACATGAGTCAAGAGCAACATTGCTACTGCCATCATTTCATCTGTACCCAGAAGATTAAGATTAATTCAAAGATTAAGGAATAATAGGGTACCTAATGACAATTAAATGTGCACCACATTCCCTAACCACAGCTCGTACCAAGCTTGTCTAGCATGAACAAAAACAAAAACAAAAAATTTCATAAAAACCCAATAAGCAAACAAAATTAGTAAAAATCCAATTGGAAACCAATGCTAATTAAAACTTTAACACTATGATCAAGCACATTAACAAGTATAAACCTTGGAAAAGTGATGGTTCAATCAATATTTACCTTTCCGGTGCCGGGAGGGCCGTAGAGGAGCAAACCCCGAGGCCACTGAAGAAAAACCCAGAAACCCAAAACCCAAAATTAATTAGCATAAGAGAAATGGAAGCGTAAGAGATATGGAGTGTGCGTGTGTGTGTGTGTATGTGTCGGTTTTGAGGTGTTTACTTTGAGACCGAGCTTTTGGGCTTGACGGGAATAGAGGAGAGGGTAGATGATGAGTTCTCTGAGAGCTCGGAGAGCTTCGGCGTTGCCGGCTATGGCGTCTTCCGCTCTCCATTGCTCCTTGTTGGTGTTGTTGCTGCTGCTACACGAGGTGCTGCCATGGCTTTCCATCTCTGCGAAAAGAGTAGAAGGGAAATCCGAGCAAGAAACGAAAGAAAAATTCTGTGACGGTCGCCACTTAACGGCGCCAGACTAGACGATCGTATCTGGGCCTGGAAAGCGTTTATGACACCCCTCAAGACTTGGGCCCGTTACAGACGTTATGTTTCTTTCTTGGGCCTCTGACAGAGATTCACATATTGGTCTTAGGCTATGGTATGACGGTATTCTCACTATTTTTCTCAAAATTCTAACGTTCGACTTATATAAATTGCTAGTTAAATACTTAAAACTCATTTAGAATTATTTTTAAAATGACTGAAAATACTTTTTAGAGTATTATAGCTTATCGAAATTCAGCTTTGGTACCAATGCTTGGTGATTCAAGTGGTAAGGAGTTTGTTTCTCTTAAGCAAGGTCTCGAGTTCAAGCCTTATGAATGGAGAAACCAACATTGGGACAGCTTCCCCCCCCCGAATAGGGTCCGACCCGGCTCGAAAGATTAGTCCTCGCCTACGTGCGGGGATACCCCGGATTCATCCAAATATATATATATATATATATATATATATATATATATATATATCGGCTTGGATCAACACAAAAAACAAAAACCAAAAAGACGATGAAATACACCACCACGAGATGTCTAACGAAACACCAACTGCTACCGTTTGATTAGTTCCATGGTTCCAAACAGGTTCTTTCCGCACAAATACTGATATATAACGAGACACCAGATCAATTACAGAAGGTCAAATTATTCCCAAGGCCAAGTTAATACAAATTAATAAGCGATTAAGCGCCAAAGAAACGGAGAGACATGCGTGCGAATGTGCATAAAACAACGTTGTTTCCGAATCTTCCAAGATCTTCCATTTCCAATTCAATCATAAACATGTATGCATCTACGCTGCATCAAAGAATCCCACTAAGCCATGTCAGTCCAACCGTTTGTGAATCACTGCACTTCCTGCAGATGCTTGATTTGCTGCACGGTTACTTCCGTAATTCTTTCGGTTTGATTCCCTTGCAATTCTTGAACCAAACTAAAACAGAAACACAGAAAAACGCATGATTAAATCACCTAAACTATCACAGTTCTACGCATGCTCAGCCCCAAAAAAGTGGGGGAACACAGGAAAGAGAGAGAAACAGAAAAGAAGAACACCTGTATAGCTCTTTTAGGCAGAGAAGCAGCTTCATACAAACCAAGCAATTCTGCGACCTGCATAGCCACCATAGAATAGGATAACATTGTATTCAGTACACATCAAGTGCAAAAGCAGATCAGACATTACTTAAACACTGAGCAAAGGAATTAGCACTGACCCCTCTCAGAATCTTCTTATCTCCTATCCCGCACGGTTGATCAAGGTTGGCAACCTCCCAGAGAGGAAACCCAAGCAAAATTCTTATAACATCTTCATCCAGAAACGGAAACCTTGCCTGGCATAAATTAAGACTAAAATCAACACATAACACAAGCCAAGGAGAAAATGAAAGATATTTATCCGAGTTGTCAGCAGCACCTCCTTGCCATTGTCAGCAATGCACCGATCATCTCTCCCAAGGTTTCTTTTCCAAATTCTCTGCATGTCCAATTTCATTTCATCGTTTAGTGCACGCCAGCTGAGATACAGTAGACCACCAGAATGAGTACCTGAAAACATATAATACTCTACACCCCTGTAATTTAATTTCATACCCGCCACTTCTATATTTCGTTCTGTGCCTACCATAGCCAGCACATTGCTCATCTGCACCTGAACCAACAAGAAGAATCCTCGCCTTGGACTTGTACTTGACGCATTGACAATCCTCATCATTATAATTGGTATTTTCCTCATATACCCATCCATCACCACCAGCAGCTAGCCACAAAGCTATTCCTATATTCAGGTCCTGCAACACTAAATAACATAAAACACCTATCTCGAAACCTTAACATACTTGTGATATCTAAAACCGTAATTTAGTCAAACAGTCAACAAAAAAAAAATATAAATATAAATATCAGCAGGAAACATGTCCTGGACAAATGTAATCTACACTAGGCCATAGAATGAAATTGAGTACCATGTAGGTGTTAGCAGGATTTATGAGTGACATGACATGCTTTGTTTCAAAGGTCAATGTTGACAATTCAGCGTCAATCTCCACAAGCTTCCACCTGCATTTCCAATCGCATAGAGTAAGGAACACCATAAGCATTAAGAATGGAGTCAAACCATCAAGGACTTTAATCCAAAGCTAAGTGATATTGAGTATGTGGACCATAAACACTTCTTTGAAAAGCACGTTAGACTGCATTTTAGCGTTGAACAAATAATCCAAAAGTATATTATTTTATACACATGCTGAGCCAAAGCATTAAACATAGACATAGACTCGCAAGAAAAGTTTAGTGAGTACTTTCTTGAAGGTGCAATTCTTCTCAGTTCGCTTACTCCTGCCCTGGCAGAGATTCTGTCAGGAGCAGACCGACCATCAAAGCTCACATTAAGTAGATCAATATCATCTGCAAACAAAAAATTAATATAAAATCAACTCAGCTAAAGATATTACACAAGTATTTCACAATGCGATAGGCAAACTGAGTTTCTCAAGGCGAACATTGAACTATGGCAAAATAAACTGCTGACCTAGCTTATCCAGCTACACTTACAGCTCGGATCAAGGCACTCATGCAACAAGGCTGCAATTATCATAGAATCTAATCCACCAGAAAAAAGAACTGCCACCGGTACAAATTCCTGTTCCATATCATGTCTACCTGCCTAATAAACAGTAAGAAGTTAAAACTTAAAAGTACTACATCACTGAGTATTTAATATTAATACTGCAGATATAACTAGAAGCATGACAAAACAGAATAAGATTTCTGAACCTGAAAAATTGTGTGCAGTGAAGAGCGTCGCCTAACAGATTCCCTTAAAGCAATCAGTACTGCCTGTGCTGGCACAGAAATTGAAGCTTGTATAGATCCTGCTCAGTCAAAACAAAAGGCACAATGACATCCTCAGACAACAACGCGTGTACTAACAAATACTGAAAGTTTAAAGTTTACTGACTTAAGGTTAGATTCTCTGCAGCAAAGATGATATTAACCTGATTTTAATGGTTCTGTACCTGAATTAACTGAGTGCATATCACGTTTCCCTGTCAGAGTCTTGGAATGGGAAATGTGTAAGTCTTCAGGTTTACGTTCGACATAAGTTCTCTCCCATTTTATCAGTTCTTCTAGTACACCATTTGTCCACTCATGTTTTTGCACTTCACCAACCAAAATCCCATCAAGACCTGGAGCATTCATAGATATACTGTATATTCCACATCGGAGCTCTTCCCAAAAATTCAGCTTGGTAGTTCCATTTTCAGCTTCAAAATCTACAGTCCATTGACATTATCCATTAATAGATACGGCTCACTACTGTACAGTCCAAGATCAAGAATCAGATTGGCAAGAAAAATAAAGCTCTACCGAGCTATACATACCAAAAGAACGCTCATTTGAAGAAAAAGGTGATACAGACGACAGCAGAAACCGAGAGTCCTCCAGTGTTGGCCAGTGAACAAGAAGACTCCGCCGACCAAATGCATCTCGAGCAAACCACAGAGTTTTGAACTTTCCTATCCATGGAAATACATAAACAATTCAGAAGCAATATCCCAAGCAAGAAAAATGCAGCAACAAATGCCAATAAACTAAAACCAAACTTACCACTCGGAGTTACCTGCCAATAGATGATAGCCCAAGGCCCTTTGATCCTAGAAAGAACATCTGGAACAGAACCCGAACAGCACTGTACCAGCAACTGCAAAAGAACTTCACCATCGTTCTCATCTCTACCAATGTCTATGCCCCCAAAGATTTCACCTTTCACAAAGAATCCAAATTCAATATCCACCATCTACCAAACTTAAACAAAACGCAATGCTAGAAAGAAAAAAAACCCGAAACTCGAAAACAAATTTATACCATTAAAAACAAGGATATTCTTATCCGAATCTATCAATGGCTGAACCACAGGGCTTACTCCCCTGAGCTGCAAAGTGGCACCCAGGAAGTGCAACTCAGCAGACGAACTGGGAACGGTGCTGAAATGGGTATGCAGATGAGGCGTTCGATCATTTTCCAAAGAGAAACATTTGCCTTCATCGCCTTCGCGACCAGCCTCCTCCTTTACTACCCCCTCAATGGAAGACACAATTTCCCGCACCGGGAGACGATTCGAAACGGCTGAATGGAGAAGAAGTTTCGTGCTGCCTAAGCTATCGGGACCCCTCCTCCGCAAAGCTTTTCTTAGATCGTCAATGGCGAACGCAAGCTGCTCGGTAGCAACAACAAACTCAGTTAATCAAATGGTTAAGCCGAAAAGCTTCGATTTTTTTTACCAAAAAAAAAAAAAAAAGAAGAAGAAAGAGACAGACTTGGTCGGAGTTGGGGAGTGGAGGTGTAGGATTGAGAAGCAGGGACGACAGATCAAAACGAATTCCCCAGATGATCAAAGCGATTCCGCACATTTCTGTTTTTGTGTGATTGCCAATTTGCCACCCACCCTAAACCCTAATCATTGAAATTTTGGGGGTTTAACTATATTCCCACCTCTGTGCAAAGTTTAGTAAGAAAAACATTGAGCAGAATTGGAGTGTCAATAATATTTTTTGACATGAGATAAAATTAAGGAGTAATTAGGTTTTCATCCTTATTTTTACTACTCTATTGATTAAAACCTTATTACTTTTCAATTTTTGATCAAGTATTAATAATATCATTAATTATTTCAATAATAAAATATTTTTTATTTCTAAATATATTCATTTAATATTAAAAATGTTACAATTAGTATATTTATATTTATGGCTAAATTTTTTATCATATATTTTTATTTTTAGTTTGTACCCATTTTTAATTTGCAACCCTTTTTTAATTTGTACCAATTTTCCTTTCAATTTTAATTTGTACCCATATATTAATTTCTTTTTGTGCCCATATTTTTTAAAGTTTTATTTGTATTTGTACCCATATTTTTTTATTTATTTGTACCCATTTTTATTTTTGCTAAATGTACCCATTTTGAAGAATGTACCCATGTTTTGATACAATAATTTTTTGGTTATTTTTTATGAATGTACCCATGTTTACACACACACACACACAATAGTATATTATATTTTAATATTTTTAATCCCACAAATTATGTTTTTTATTTAAAATCTCATTACTATAAATGACACACCCCGTCCCGAAGGAGGGCATGCTGGCCGTCATGTGAGAGTGACGTAACCATTTGCACAGTACGGAAGCTTTAATTATACAATTTATAAGTTGATACACCCGAAGGTGAGTCCTAATTTTGTCCAATCTGTCAGAACACCGTCGAATTCCTCGTAGTCACCACGCCTTTGTGATTCCTGAACCTGGAGGGGCGCAAAACCAAAATTGAGTGGGTCAGTAAAACAATTCTTTTCCAAATCCAAAATTTCTCAAAACGTTGTAACCCCTCTCCGTAAAACTTGTATACTTTCCCAGAAATGTAAAATAATAATATACATATATATTCTCAAAACTTCATTTTTACTATCTCAACATTTTTCTTTATCAATCATGCCATGCCATGTCTAATTCAACAGTTAAGTATGGATGCATCAACAATAATCATATCAGGTGCAAGAAAGTAATCAACCGGAAGCCCTCTAATAGCCTGTACGGTTGAACCTAGAGCTCAAAATCTATCACTCTCACTCTGCCGGAGTCACCTCTGTGACCTGTCCGGCCTTCTGCACACAAGTTACGCTCTAGTGCTTTCTCATCAATCATCTGTGCACATAATCTAAGGTCACCCACCAGTCGAAATCTCACTAACACTCTTCGACTGGCCCGTCGCACCCACTCCGCGTGGACTGTGCGACCAGCATCTACTTGGATCCAAGGCGAGCGTGCGATGCGGTGAATACTATAAGCACTAAACCATGGTGCAGGATTTGAGCTCAATATATATCATCATCATCATAACAGTAATTAAATACTCACCTGATACTCACCTGTGCGTCCGCCGCACCAATTCATACATATGCATCATATATCAATTCATATCATTTCATGCATGGCAATTCGATTCACATTTCTATATACTTTTCATATACTTTCATGCATAGCGTTTCAATTCACATTTTTCGTATAATTCTATAAACTTTTCACACATTTCTATTTAAAGCATAATTTCATGCATTTTCAATTTCTGGGAAAACGGCAAGTATATATGTATACGAAAAACAAAATTGCCCACTCACCTGGAGTTCGCCCTACAACTCCCTAGCACAATACGCCAAGGCGTCATGACGATCGGCGCCTAAAACAATAATCAATTCCAACCTCAGAACTCATATCGATAGAATATATAACTTATATAAAATACGTCACTACGTAGATCGATCCGGAAGATCCACCACTCAGATTTTAAATCCATAACTTCCAGAGGTCCACATTATACCTCTAGTACAACATCCTAAAATTTCATTACCATCCAACGGTCGGATCTCCGTCAATTTCCAAAACTAAGTGACGGTTACATTCTATTTTATGAACTTACAACTCCAATTCTGGAAGATCCGTAAATCGGATTCCCAATCCGTAAGTTCCAATAATCCTCAAATATTACGTATTACAACGTATCAAAGTTTGGTAACGATCCAACGGTCGGATCATCAATTCACATTTTCACCTAATGCGAAAACTATAAAACATTATTTAAAGCACCTAACCAATAATCGTAATAACTTTCTCATACGGTGCTCAATTTGGGTATATGAATATACCACAGTGATCTACTCGACGTCACGAACGTCGAAAAATTTTTAAAATAATTTTTTACTGTAGCACGCGCCCCCACGCGCACCTTCTTCTTCCTTGGGTCGCCGGACTGGTTTTTCCGGCGGCCGTTTTTCAAATTGCCATAACTTTGTCATTTCTCAACGAAATCAAGTGATTCAAAAACGAAAGTTGTAGCCCTTGAAGAGACAAAGAGAATGGTACCTTGAACAACACCTAGTTCGCCGTGGTTTGGCCGGAAACTGCCTCGAAAGCCTCGGAGGTCGCCGGAAACTGGGTATTTTTCAAATGAGTATAACTTCTTCAATACTCAACGAAATTGAGTGAAACAAAAAGGAAAGTTGTAGTACTTGACGAGACGAAGAGATTGATACCTACCTCGACTCCTAACTCACCGGGGATTCGCCGGAAAATGCCTCGAAAGCTCCGGCCAAACTTTGAACTTGTCGATCTCCGTGTTCTTACGTCCAAAAACTTCCAACGAAGCACTCCGAGCTTCCTTGGGACCTCACTAAGCTCGCTGTGATCTTTTTTTAGCCTAAAACGTAGTCATTTAGAAGATCATGAACAGTACCATTTCACGGGAACTTTGAAACTAGGGTTTTCCGAAGCAAAACTTACCTGAAATGGATACCATCGTGATCGTGGAGGTTCCATGAGTTTGATGGTGGTCTTAACTCCGTCGTTGGTAGAAGTTAGGGTGGTTTTGGAGTTTGTCCGTGCATTTGAGAGGGAGAGAACAGAGAGTGAGAGTTCGTGAGGGAGGAGAGAGAGAGACAGGGTACGGGAAAGAGGGAAGGATTTGAGGTGTGTGGGATCCTACCCAATCCCAACTACAAAATTCTATCATAAAATTTAAGTCTAAATCTCCACTCTAATTACCAAAGTTTAGGAGCTTAGATATAACGAACGTGAAAATTATACCTTAGTCACGTATTAGGGACATTTCCGTTAATTCACCATCACGAGTGTAAAACTTTGGGACGGGCTGTGACAATAAACAACTATAAATTTTAATTTTTAATTTAAAAAATATAGTAACGTACATAGAAATAAATTATCAATTAATTTTAGGGACTTGGATCAAAAATTGAAAACCAACAAAGTTTCAGTCAAAGATTATTCATAACTAGGGACCGCATCCAAAGTCTCCCTAAAATTAAAGAGAGTGTGTTTAATTGGGATTTTAAGAAATTTTAATGGATATAAATTAATAGATTTTTATAGAGTTTAATTGATTTGTATGGATTTTATGTAAAATTTTAATTCAATTCTCTTAAAATTTCTTAGAAATATGTGAGATATGTATATGCTTTACAATATATTACTAAATATCTTTAATTCCCTCAAATTCCTCAACATTTTAAATCCTCTAAAATAAATTTCTAAATGAATACACTTTGAATTTCAATGAATCTTAAAATCCTTATTGAATATCCCTAAATTTGTTAAAAATAATTAAAATCCGTCAAAATTCCAATTGAAATTCCTCAACATTTTAAATCCTCAAAATCAGTTTCTAAATGAATACACTTTGAATTTCAATGAATCTTAAAATCCTAATTGAATATTCCTAAATTTGTTAAAAATAATTAAAATCCGTCAAAATCCAATTGAAATTGAATACATCTTAAAACTTTAAGATTGCGTGTGATTATGTAAGTTATGTGTAGCTTAGACAAGTATAATATTAATATTATGTCAACCGTGCACAAAATAGTAATTATCCTGACTCGATTATTATTAGTAAAGAATCGCACCCTAAATACATTAAAGACTCATAATCTTACCCTAATCATCTCACAATATTGTTTTCAGTAGAATTTCCTCGTTTGAGCAAATTATTAGCAAACAAAACAAAGGGAACAAATTGGCAATCTTAATTCCTCAGCAAAAATCAACAAAATAAATAAATAAATCCCTTGGCGAATACCCAAAAAAAGGAAGAAATTGACAATTCTTAATTTCCCTTATTCAACATGGCATAAAATCCACCAATCGTAGCCGTCAGATCAAGAACTTTTTATTATCTTAAAACAAATCAAGGACTTCAATTCTAAATGCTCGTACACCAGTAAGGATACTTGCCGGATCCTCTTTATGAGAATCTGGAAATCTTCCAATTACATTCGTTCATCATATATCATACAATTATTTTTTATCAGGTACCATTTATATTTAATTTTAAATAAATAAAATATAATAATCTCTAATCGTATAATATACGATGAATATATGTAATATGAAGATTCTCAATCCTCACAAAAAGGATCGGCGAGGATTCTCACTCGTTGTACAATATCCGTTTAGTTTTGGTGGGACCCTCCCGAACTGTGCAAATATGAAAATTCCCTCCAACTCCAGACTCCTGAGAGAGGCGGTGGGCCGAGAGAGGAGAATAAATCGGACCAGGATTTGGAGTAAAACACAAACAAATCGCCTATAAATTCCAACCTTCACATCAGATTCTCCACACCACCTATTACTCTCTTCTTCTCTGCCGCTCCCCTCTGAGTTTCTCTCCCCTTTATCTGGAGTTGGAGCCGCCGCAGGGCGCTTCTCGGCTCCCTGTTGCCGTCGTCTGGTGCGTCTTGATTTCTCTCCTCTCTCCGTGTTGGGTTTTTTTTTTTTTAATTTTTTTTTAATTTGTATCTGGGGTGTTTGAGTTTTCGGTTGATTGCATTGTATCGTGAATGAATTTGAGTTTGCTTGCGTTTTGTTTTCTTGGTTTTTATATCCAACTGTTGTTTTCTTTGCGATTTGATTCAGGAACTGGTTGTTTTTTTTGTTAGGTTTATGATTCCTGGTGTAAATTTTGTAGATTTGGCTCCAGAAACAAAAGAGAAGAAAAAATATTATAAATTTGGGGTTTTTTTTTTTATGTTTTATATGTAAATTATGCCGATGATAATTGTATTCCTGTTTTATTTGGGGTTTTAGGGTTGGGGTTTTGTACCCAAGTTCGAGTGGTGATCGTATCAGTACGTTCGGTTTCTTTTTTTAGATCCTCAATTTTCGGTTAGTATTGTATGTTTTTCTTTTGGTTGATTTCGAGAGAATGTGAAATTAAGCTATAAATTGGGTTTTGTATTTTGGATTAATTCTGTTAATATCAAATAGAATTTAACACCACCTTTGTGGTTGCAGAGATGGCAAATCAATCAGAAAATCCACCAACAGCAACGGACGTGGGCGAGAATTTTATAAACCAATACCATCAAGTCTTTCGAGATGATTCTAAGGTGCTCCATAAATTTTATCAGGATTCAAGTGTGATATCTCGTCCTGAACAAGATGGTTCGATGAAGTCAGTGACAGCTATGGAAGTAAGCCTTGTAAAAAGTTTTAATAGTTTCTTTAGCTGCTCTTTCGTGCTTCTTTTGCCTGCATTGGTCTTTGGCAGCCTTAGTTATTGTAAATTTTCATGATGCATTCATTCGGTTTTCCCGCTTTTCCTTGTTTCTCTGTTAGCTGAAAAATTTAGGATGTTTAAGCAGGGTTTTAGTGTTAACTGGAGTTCTCCTATTCTGATGATTTAATTGGATGTTTGTTTTGAAACAGGGCATTGAGAACATGCTACTGTCCTCGGGTTACCACAATTATCGTGACTTAAAAATATTGACTACCGATTCTCAGTTTTCACTCAATGGTGGAGTGATTGTTTTAGTGACTGGGTATTTAACTGGAGATGACAAAGTGCGAAGAAAATTTACTCAAACTTTCTTTCTAGCCCCACAACAGCACGGATACTTTGTCTTGAATGATATCCTTAAATACTTGGATGTTGTGCCAGATAATGTTGTCGAAAGTACACCAGAAGCTCCTGTTCCCTCGAACCATGGTATGTTATATGGTGTATGCGATTTCAAATATAATTTTCCATTTTTTATTTTTTTTGGGGTTGGCTTTTGGTAAACAAATTATTTATGGATATTATGTTATCAGTTGTTACAGAGCCCTCCGCTGTCGCTGATCAGCCCGTGGTCAGTCAAACTACCCCTTTGGAGGTTGAGATCACTAATGAAAAGAAAGCCAATAATGTGATGGAGACTGTTCCGGAACCTGTTACCAAATACAATGTGAGTGCTGATAATCCCATTGAATCAAGACAGAGTGTTACCCTGAAGGCAACGGAGGACGCAGCTCCTAAAGCCCAGAAGGATGCTCCAAAGAAGTCTTTTGCAGCAGTGGTGAGTTAATGTTTAGGTTGTATAGTAGTTGGTACTTGGTATTACTAGACTTGTGCTTATCATCTGATTGTTTCTTGGTTCAGGTGAGTGCTTTGAGCGAGAATAAAGCTCCATTTGTTGTGAGGACACCTGTACGCAAACCTGCACCCAAACCTGTTGAGCAGCCGCGTGCACCTGTAACGCCTGAAGCTTTACCTCCCCGAAACAACCGTGCTGTGGAAAAGAATAATGTCCCTGCAGGTTGATATTCTTTTTATGGTGTAGTATTAAATTTTACCATTTTACCTGTTTTGGTTGTGCCAGTTAATGAGGTGTCATATAACTTTCTCACTGTTGGAATAAGTATTCATACTTTGTACCCTTCTTATTTGTCGTTGCAGTTAAGTCTCATGCCATTTTCGTTGCCAAGTTGCCCATGGATGCAACTCATGAAGAACTGGAGAAGATATTCAAGCCTTATGGACCCATCAAGCGCAATGGGATTCAAGTTCGAAGCCATTGGGTATGCTTTACGTCTTTTGTGTATTCGTCTTGATTTAAGCCTTTGGTGTATTGTTTCTCACTCGTCCTGCATCACACTTGTACATCCAGGATCAGGGAAACTGTTTTGGGTTTGTGGAATTTGAATCTGCTGACTCCATGCAACGTGCACTTCAGGCATCTCCTATCAAATATGGCAATTATGAGCTACAAATTGAAGAGAGACGAGGCAAGTTGCAATGTTATTCATCATTCTTTCTGAATTATGTGCATTGCTTTTGTAGAAATTACTCTCTTTCCTCCACCATTGCCTTTGTCACAATTGCTCATACGAAAATGTCCTATGTCCAACATGTTTAAAATAAAAACTCTTATCTGCTGTCTCCTATCTTTTCCTCGCTGCGCTCATTTCTTTCTCATCACCAATGCAGAAACAGTATCAAACGAACCCATGTGTTCTAAAATAATTTTACATTGCCAAAAGACCATAACCTTATATCTGTGGTAAAAAATACAAATGTGTTATCACTCAAAATATGCTTGGGAGATGGCATGCTTGATTGCTCACGACTTATTTTATGCTTGCAGCCAGCGACAAAGGAAGGTTCTCATCGGGAAGGGGTGGATACCAAAATGACAACTTTAGGGGCCGTGGGAACTACAATGGAGGCCGCGGAAACTACAATGGAGGCCGTGGTTATGGAAGAGACGATCATGAGAAGAGGGGTGAATACCGTGAATTCTCCGGTCCAGCTGCCGGGCGCAATGGAGAAGCTTATCAGCACCAGAGACCTTACCAGAATGGAGGAAAAGCTCCTCGTCAAACATCAAAATCTGCAGCTTAAGTTAGGTTAAGGATCTTATCAGGTTGAAACATATAAGAAAAAGCTTATTTACTTAAGAGATTTCATACACTAGGCGTTTTTGGTAGGCAGAAGTTAGAGAGCGGCCATATTACGAGGTTCTTTACCTTGCTCACTTTTTCGAGTTTTCTTCGGTTTAAAAAATTTTGTAACTATATTTTGGTGGAATAATTATTATTGGAAGCTTCATAATTGAGTAACGTTAGGAAAGACCATATAATTGAGTAACATTAGGAAGATCATATATTTATACTACATCAGATGATACACATATGTGATACAAAAATATGGTCTCTTCAACATTTTTCTTCATAGTTATGCTGATTATTTTGTGTCATATGTTTGACATCATCGAATGATTGGTGTTGAAGACCAAATTGAGCATATATGTGCGTAGCTAAGTTGTTATTTATCGCACAATTTGTTGTCCTTACACTCAAAAAAGCAAATATTTAACGTGATTCTGATTAGATTAGAGTATCACTTGAATAAGAAAAATGCATATTTTCGATTTGCCCCCTGAACTTGTATAGAGGTGCTAATTTCCTCCCTTGAACTTTAATTTTAACCAATTACCTTCCTAAACTTTTATAATTAGCCAATTTCCCCCTTGAACTTTAATTTTAGTCAATTACTTCCTAAATTTTTATAAATAGCTAATTTTCCCCCTGATGCTAGATTTAAAAAAACAATCATCCATTCAATTTTTTTATCCATTTTGATCATGCTGACAATACATGACAATGTATTGGGGCAAAAAGAATGGAAAATTGGATGGATGAAAATTTTAAAAAATTTAGAAGGGTAATCTGCTAAAGTTAAAATTCATAAAAGAAATTGACTAATTATAAAAATTTAAAAAGATAATTGGTTAAAATTAAATTAAAATTTAAGCGAAAAATTGACACCTCTGTATAGAAGGCAAACCAACAAACACCATTAAAAAATACACGAGGATGTGGCTTTTGTTGGTACCAGAGTGACAGAACATGTGGGGATACAATACTTTATGAGACAGATGTATGCAGGCAGGGGTTTTTAAGTCATTTCGAAGATGGTGTAAAACACAACCTTGTTTATTGTCTGTGGATTGCAATCCTTAACCAACACGTGGCGGCCTGAAGTATCCACCAACAATTTCACACTCTCCCACTCTCCCAAATATGAAACACGTTTTCAAAGGACAAGTGAAAAAGGACCAGGATCCTCTTCTGAGCAGATGGAGAGGATCCTCCTGATCAGGTTTATCGGTCCGTTTATTTTTTATCCAACGGTTACAAATAGGGGGTCCCTCTAAAGTTATAATAATTATAACCGTTGGATAAAAAATGAACGGCCCGATGAGCTTGATCAGAAGGATCCTCTTCATCAGCTCAGGAGAGGATCCTGATCCAGTGAAAAACTGCTACTTTCCCGTCCATACTATTCCCATACAAGATAGATCATGAGCGACGCGTAGCGTCTTTGACAGATGGAGCGTGGAGGGGATGCAAAATGTGCAGTCACACAGAATCTCAAATTTGAAGGGGTCTCTACAATTTTTGCCACTTAATATTTATATGTAATAATATTCTATATTTAAAATTGCTTTTATTATGAGATAATATTCTATATTAAAATTTTGATTTTATTAGCACATTAAAATCTCATCTTAGACTCCTTATAAGCGTAATTTTTTTTATTTTCTAAATATAAAAATTTAGAGCACAATAAGATATTTTGAGTGCTAATAATACACCATAAAAGACGGTATTTTTTTAATATTATTATATAATAATGTTACATATTCAAGTGAAACTTTAAAGTTAGAGTTTTTGAAGTTTGTTTTCTTGTTTGGTTGTTTAAGAGTGAAGTGCTTTTGATTATTTAGTGAATGTTATGTTTGTAGCTCTTTTACTTATTATTAGTAACATTTTTAAACTTGCAATCAGTGAGTGCTAAACTTTGTTTTGATTTAAGTAATTATTTTTTAGTGTCAATACATTGTCCTACATTTTTTAAGACTATCTTAAGGAGAGACGCTTTTATAAATTTCGCACAGGGCCCCTAAAATCTTAGAGACGACCTTGGTCTGTGATAGTTAAAGGTTTGTTGCAAGCGTTTGCAGAGAGATTAGTATATGTGAAAGAAGATTGAACCTCTCTATTTAGTATTCTTTGAGGTCATTTGTACTGCTTTGCCGAACCGTTTAACATAATGGAAAAAAAGTATTGAAATGTATAGCTATTTCAAATATACGCAATCATGTTAATTAAGTAGTAGATATGATATCTTTTATGCACATGTATTTGAATTCTTTTTTTTATACATTTTGGATTAGTTTAAAATAAACACCGTTCGAATAAAAAATTTAATTTTTGTTTTAAAATGAATTACTAGCATTTAAAATAGACTTATGCACTATTTTCTACATTTCTCACTATTAAAAAAAGTGCATGGTTACGTTTATAATGTGCAAAATAACTCCCTTTATTTTTCGGTTGATGAAATCGAATTTCTTTTGGCAAAAAAGTAAGGAAAAAAAGTAGGCCAAAACTCTTCTAAAAAAAAAAAAAAAAAAAAGGCCAAAAATACCAGACGACATGTCGCTCTCAGAAGTTGGTGATTGCTATGTTGGACACGTGGATACCAGACACGTAGCTAGTTGTACTATTTTCTAGGGTGTGGGAATCTGTAACTTGCCACTGCGGGTCCCACTTCTTTTACCCATGAAAATTTATGATGACGACATGTTTCTTGTTTGGACGCACGTGCATCCCACTCCACTCGCCCATTTTCCTCCTAGTTGACTTTGTGGGTAATAGACTTTGACCACACCGTCTTAACAGAGAGCAACTTACATTGTACACCGTTGCATATAAAAAAAAACTAATAAAAATAATTTGAAAACTTTGAGTTTTAACGATAATGATAAAATAAAGGGCAAAATGAATAGTATCATGATGACTTTTTATATAAAAATATGATTTTTCTATGAGTGCGTGCTATTTCTTTTACTAGAAAATAAAGGTGCGAATCTAATATCATTATAGAACATGAGTGCAATCAGTCTTATATTTGGTTTAACAGTTATTTCGTACACTCAATTTTAATTTGTATGAAATTTAATACTTTTATTTGGGTCAATCTTGGATCAACATGCTATAACTATCTTGTACGGTTTGACGGGTAATCAGCAATACATATTCTAACTCTTGACTTTTCATGTATTAATAATAGACACGAGAAGTTCAGAATTGTAATGTTTCTATTCAATTATACATTGTGATAGTACATGTGCTTTTTTGTTATTCAATTTATATTTCATTTACAAGTTAGACTCAAGTAATGACACTTACGAAAGTCCAGGTTAAGAAACCAGCACGATTTATTATTTCGTTGCTGCAAACCTATATCCGCGGAGTTTGTGGAAAATCTACCTAAAAACACTACTTATTGTCATCTAACCTAAAAAGCTATAAAAACTAGTTCCATGCTATACATGTTAGGATATTGAAACATAAAATCTTACAATTTACAACCATAATTAACAATTGTCATCTAACCTAAAAAGCTATAAAAAAAACTAGTTCCATGCTATACATGTTAGGATATTGAAACATAATATCTTACAATTAACAATATAAAAACTCATCAAAAATTAAATTATCATATCTAAATCTGTTAGTTAAAAAGATGACAGAGAAAGTAGTACTAGTCAAATAATTAAAACGACACCTAAGCATGACCAACAATAAAATAAACAAACAAGAGTGGACAAGTAGTAGAAGGTGGATTTTCGATTGAGCAATTTTATCTGGTGTAGGTTTATCTCTCATCCGTTTTTTTCTCTCCCCTCGCATTTATGTTAACGGTCATAATTAAATTAAGTTAACATCTTGTGTTGACTTTTGTACAGTAAGAAAAAAACAAAATAAAAAGTGTAAAGGAAAAATTCTAATTAGACTGTCTTCAAAGTGGACGTTTCATAAACCCTCTACTACCTCATCTTTGTAAAACAATTCACGCTCTGACATTATAAATAATGTATCAAAAAGATTAAGTGTCGACAATTCATCGAAAATTCTAATCTAAAAGAGTCTCCTTAACATTACAAAAAATGAGGAGAAAAAGAATTGGAGGAGAGAGAAATCTAGCAGCAGCAGAGTGCAACAACCAAAACCCACGTCAAGGCATTTTACGACAGGCCGAACCAGTCGGACCACGTGTCTCCTAACCGCTGTCTATGTATGACCGACACGTGGTTCTATCCCCTCCTGATTCTCTTCACGACACGTGTGTAGGCAAGGATAGGTTACTGTTTCTGGTGGAGATGCCAAAAAGAAAGTGCCTGTCCTGCTACGTGTCGGCACGGCATTCCTCGAATCAGCCACCCGCCTCCCCAAGTAGTTTTGCTTGTCAAAACGCCAAGGGCATTTTCGGAAATTTGACGAAAATCTCTCTCTTTGTCTCTGCTTTTCTTTCCCTTTCGGGTTTTTTATGCAATACTTTCTTCTTTCGTTTTCTCTGCTTCCGTAATCTCGGATATCTCTCGAGTTGGGAAATAAACTCGGCCGAGTTGAAAACGGACGACTCATAAAGTAGCAGAGAGAGAAACGGCTTTCTTTGGTGCGTCGTTCCTGAATCGGATTTGAACTGAATGCTGCGAGCGTTTTCCTACTGTCATCTAAAACAAGTTTCTGCTAATGGGTTCTGCTGATCAAAGCTTCAACCTTTCGAATCTGCAGATACATACAAATAGCTTCTGAAGTGTGTATATATATATATATATATCTGTTTTTTCCATGGGTGAAGCTAATGAATGGAGAAGGAGAGCAATGGAAAATCTGTCTCTGGAAATGGATAAGTACCCGAGAGATCTGCTGCAGAGGTTAATGTGCAGCAGAAGCAACGACGCGACGACGCGGTTACAATATGCGGACGCTAACGAGGAAGAGGAGTCGGATGAGCTGGAGTTGAATCTCGGGCTTTCGTTAGGCGGTCGGTTCGGGGTCGACAAGAGCGCGAAAAACAAGCTAATCCGATCTACGTCGATTGCCGGGACGATGCCGTTTGTGAGGGACGACAACGACGCGACGGCGCCGACGTACACGGCGGGGCTGATGAGGACGTCTTCGCTTCCGGCCGAGACAGAGGAGGAGTGGAGGAAGAGGAAGGAGTTACAGACGCTGAGGCGGTTGGAGGCGAAAAGGAGGAGGTCGGAGAAGCAGAGGAACTCAAGGACAGAAAAAGAAGGGGGTTCTGTGGAGGAGGAAAAGCGCGAACTTGAGGGTTCAATTGGGCCCAATTCGGGCGGTGTCAGGGGTAATCGGACGGCGGGCCCGCCTTTCGGGTTGCCTAGCTGGGTAGCGGCAGCAGTTGCTAGGCAAGCTGCTAGTGGTGGCGGTGGCGGAGTGGGTGCAAATGCATTGGTGAAATTAAAAGGTGAGAATTTGAGTGGTTTGCAAGGATTTGGAAGGCGACCCAATTCGCAGGGCTCGGCGGAGTCCCTAGGCGGAAGCTCGTCGGGGATGTCGGAATTGGAGAGTAAACCTCTTCAAGGTATCTCAAGTTTTCTGAATTCTGTTTCTTAATCTGAATTTTGATGAATTTTGGGATTGAAATTCAGTTGTTAAGTGATTGATTTTGCTTCGTTTACTGGGTTCTTCTATTTTGTTTTGTTGAGGAAGATGGAGTCTTAGGTTGTTTTCCCATGTGGTCTTTCTTTTGTTCTTTGTTGTATGTTGGGTGTTCTAATCACCCGTGTGCTCGCTCTCTTTAGTTCATGGAGTGCGATGCAAAGTTGGTTGCTGAGAAAAATTTGGAACGCGAAAGAGGACATGAGTTCCTCAGCCTAGCTGACCTAACCAGTTGTTTTCGGTTAGGTTCGGTTCCCTTTAGTTCCCAGAAGGGATGTATCTTGTGGCTGCATTTTTGTAAGACGCCGGTACAGATCACTTTCCCGTCCAAGAGAGATTCAAGATGTAGCTGATCAGCATTCCCCTTCCGCCCTTCTGCGTGACAGATTTTATCCGAGTATTTCCCGAGGGGGATGAACGAATGTTGCAGCACATTCTGCAAGCCTGCAACAGCTGCACTGATCTCTAACCTGTCCGATAGTCTAGGTAGTTCCAAGGTAGGGCGACGGATACATTAGAGAACGATTATAATGCACCGAGTATTTTCTTCCTTGCCGCACAAGCGACAACAATTCTGTAACTAAGCAGGTACAGTGTGCAATTACCACCGGTGATTCATCTTCAACTGGATTGTGAACAAACCGAGATGCGGTATGAGCAATCTGGAGAAGTACTTATCAAAGTTTCTAGTGCTCTATGGAAGTTGTTTTCCATTTGATATTGCAGCCTAAACCTAGACGTGGATGCGAGAGCGGAACATATTGATTAGCTTATCGTCGGAACTGTACTCTTATGATGTAGTCAGGTAGTCTATGGAAGTAGGTTTCTTGTCTGAGGCTGGCTTCTTTCCATCTGTCTTCGTCGATGTGAAAACTTAGTTTACTTCGATAGATTGATATGTAGTTCAACAGGCTCTTACCTGCAGTATTTTTAAATTTCCAAATTTGCTATGTGAATTTGAATTTGAAAAAATAAGATTCCACAAACAGGTGAAGGGAATGGAACAAAAGAGGAAACACACAGCTACTTTTTCCTCATTGTTTTCCCTTATGATCACAGGAACCAGTGGTTGCGGTGAAGCAAGAAGCGCTGTACCCTCTAGCAACCAGTTGCTGCAAGAACGAAGTAATCAGGACAACGCTGTGGGCACTTCAGGCACAAGAACAGCAGATGATGCATCCAAAACTCCCAAACCCGACATAGAAAACCCATCTAAGAAGCCTAGTTCGCAAGAAAACAGCGAAAGGGAAACGAGGAGGAACGCCATGGAGGACATGCCGTGTGTTTTCACAATAGGAGATGGCCCAAATGGTAGAAAAGTTGAGGGAATTCTGTACAGATATGGGAAGGGACAGGAAGTCAGAATAATGTGTGTATGCCATGGAAGCTTTCTGTCTCCGGCAGAGTTCGTGAAGCATGCAGGAGGGAGTGATGTCGCTCACCCGCTTAGGCATATTGTTGTAAACCCGGCTGCCGAAATTTAAATTTGATAGCTTTTTTTTTTGTTTATTTATTTATTTTTATTTTTGGTGCGTTCTAGAAATGGAGTTTATCTAAAAATAATATCTATTATCTATTCATGGTTTCGCAGAGTTTTAAATGGCATATCTTCTAAAAGAGAATAACTTCCATGAAACGATGGAACTCCACTATTTTACTGGAATGGGCTTGGTGGGTTTGGTTCATGGGCGCTTGGCCACCTGTTTTTATCATTTTAAGACTACGCATGACAGTAAGATGTTGCGTTCTTTTCGTTAAAGCTCTATATATTTCTCTTATGAGTTTTGAAGAGACGAACATGGAGTCCTCTTCTTACAATCGTCTAGTTTCTCTTTTACGACATGGAACACCCTGAATCCGTTTCTTTTAAACAATAACTGTTGTTCATGAGGTTTGAACTCGGGATTTCTTCCCATAAAGTGAAGACTGAATGCCACTAGACAGTAAGCTACTACCAATCCTTCAGTTAAGATTATAGATGATCAATTGCAAATGAACTCAAGACATATACTAGTATAACTGCATGGTTGACAAAATTTCTCAGCTCAGCAGAATATGCTTGTTGCAGGAAAAACAACAAACTGGAAACCAAAATTCGACTACGCAGAAATGTATAAGTTACAAGCATGTCATACCTTCTATATTTCTAGGTTATGATCGATAGCTCTATACTTTGCTCATTATCCGGCTTCCTTGAAATAGGTTGGATTCGCTTTAATCTTTGGACGACTTGCTTCATTGTTGGCCTAAAGGCGAGGTTCTTGACTGTGCACGAGACAGCCAGATTCAACATCTCGACTAGATCATTCTGGGGTCCTGCATCCCATAACCCTTCTATGAAGACCTCCTTATCCAGACCCTGTTCTAACAGCATGTCCACCCAAGACACAATGTTGAAACCATGGCCATGTGACGAAAATGAAGGGTCCAATGCTTCTTTATGTGACATCAATTCAAGCAGCATAACACCGTAACTGTAAACATCAGACTTTTCAGACACATGGCAAGTCATAGCATACTCTGGTGCTACGTACCCAAAAGTCCCTGCCACACCAGTTGTTACGTGTGTTTCTGAAGTTCCCAAAAGCCTAGATAATCCAAAGTCAGACAAATAAGCATTGAACTCATTATCCAACAATATGTTACTTGGCTTGACATCACGGTGAAGGACACGCGGAATACACTCGCCATGCAGATAAGCAAGTGCTTGGGCTATATGCAAAGCAATCTTGTGGAGAATTTGCCAATTAAAAGGCCTCTGAGATCTCTCCTTGATAAATTTTTCCAAATTCCCTCCTGGTAAATAATTGTAAATGAGCAACATCTCAGTTTCACTGGCATGGTAACCTATTAAAGTTACCAGGTTTGGGTGTCTCACCCTGCCAAGGGTTTTAATCTCAGCATGAAACTGTTGAACACCGTGAAACCTTCCAACAGCTAGCCTTTTTACAGCTACAGTGATTCCTGGAGCAATTTCGGCTTTGTAAGTGGCCCCAAATCCTCCACTTCCAATGTGGTGGCTGCCATTAAAATTCCCTGTTGCTTGAACAATAATCTCAAATGTCAAAGGAGCCCCAATGTCTGTAAACAGAGTCATTTCTTTATATTCAAAACCCTGAACCCTGGAATCTGGTATCCATTTTCTCGTATAAAAGAAAAGGATAACGAGAGAGAGCAGAACCAAAACAACAGCTGATGCAGATGCTATGGATGCGATCTCGACTGAGCCTAATCCACTGTTATCATCACCACCAGTAGTTGCTGATGCGGAATCAGGGTTATGTTGTGAACTCCCATTCCTATCTAGCTGATCTGAAGATGGAGCAATTAGCGGAACATGGCATGGAATAAGGAAAGGATTCCCAAGGACACTGCTGCAGTTCATCGCACTATTGTTCAATGGAAATGAACCAGACAGGTTATTGAAGGAGGCATTGAATGTAGATAGGGATTTCAGATTAGTCAAGCCTGAAGGGATGTGCCCAGTGAGTTTATTGTTGTCGAGCAAAAAAACAGTTAAATTTTTCAAGTTCACAAGACCTTGAGGAATATCACCAGAAAGAGAATTTGAAGACAGTTTTAGCACCTCAAGGGAGTGCAACCACCCAAAGCTAGCAGGAATCGCACCAGTGAGGTTGTTGTTAGCCAGGGCAAGATACTTAAGATACTTCAACAGACTGATACCGGAGGGAATTTGACCTTGTAGCTGGTTCCTGCTCAAGTCAAGAAAGACAAGAGATCTGCACGTCACACCAATCCCAAAAGGAATTCGACCTGCCAACTTATTGTCGCTGACATCAATAATCATTCCATCTAATCCGTCACATTTTCCTAGTAAGCTTTCAGGAAATGATCCAGTGAGCTTGTTGCCACCAGCAAGAAATGCATAAACAGTCTGCTTCTGCAATCTCTCAGTTGCAAGAGGGAGGTGTTGGATTGGACCAGTGAAGTTGTTACCACTAAAATCATGAATCATAGTGAAACTACCACCGGAAAGAGGCAAATGACTATCAAGCTGAGTTTGGCAAGTAAAGAGCACTTGATATGGAAATGATAGATTGTTGACTCGGACACGATCTGAATTTGGGAGCACCTGGGGGCATGCTCTGTACAGAAACTCGGGCACAGGTCCAGACATGAAGTTTCCACTGACATTGAAAACAGTCATACATGGAACTGGAAACTTCTCATCAATCTTCCCACTCAGCTTATTTGATCCCAAATTTAGATAATGCAGCTTCTTGCATCTTTCAAATACTCCAGTGACTTCTCCGCTGAAAAGGTTCTGAGCTAAGTTCAACATTTCCAAGTTCTCACAACCACTCCAATTGCTCGGAAGCTTTCCCTCAAGTGTTGCCCTTGGAGCCCAAACTATTTTCAAATTTGGAAGGGTTGTAATTTCCTCCGGAAAAGAGCCTTCGTAATAATTGTAATCATCGTCCAAACCACTAGATAAAACAATTGATGTATCTCCTTTTGTATTCTGATTGGTTGTCAATGGATTAAAAAGATTCGATAGGACAAGAACAGATAAATTGACACATTGTCCAAGCTCAGCAGGGATTGGCCCGCTAAGGCTATTTCTTGAAACATCTAGAACTTCAAGCATTCGAATCCAACCAAGTTCTAGAGGAATGCTACCAGCCAATATATTCGAAAACAACAAAAGAGTCCGTAAACTCCGACAATTCCCCAAACTACCAGGAATCTTCCCATCAAGGAAATTCCCCGACACATCAAGATGTTCAAGATTTTGACAAAAGCTTCCAAATGTGGCTGGTATAGACCCATTTAACCTATTTTGAGCCAAATAAAGTCCCTGCAACTTCGCAAAACTACCAACAAACCCAGGAATGGTTCCACTCACTTCATTGCCTACCAAATTCAACACCTCCAAATCCACACATCTTGAAAGCGAAATAGGAATCTCCCCACCAATTCTATTAAACCCAAGATTCAAAACCCTCAACATCCTTAAACCCGAAAACTGGGTTGGCAAACTTCCGTTCAACAAATTCCCCTCAAGATCAAGCACTTCAAGCTTCTCCAACCCCCAAATTTCCTTCGGAATTTCGCCACCAAGTTCATTAAATGGCAGCGATAAAACTCTAAGCTCAGTGAGCTTTCCCACCCAAGGCGAAACCTTTCCACCCAATTTTCCACTAATAACTAAACTTTTCCTCCAAACAGCGAACTCATCAAACGGAAATGGAAATTTCAAACTCTGAGAGCAAGAGAGAGCTCGAAAATTACCTCCTTTGCCACTGCTGCCGCCGAGACTAAGCGAAACGACCCTGGATTTGTCGTTGCAGGAGACCCCGACCCAAGAGCAGTGGTGATCGAAGCTGTTGGATATCCAGCCGGAGAGAACCCCATGCGGGTCGGAAAACGAGCTCTTGATCTCGAGCAAAATCGACTTCTCAGAAACCGGCGCTTCCCCAGAAACGCAACTCAATAAGCAGAAGGCGTTGAGAAAAAGCGCGGTTTTGAAAAGCATATGGCATTTCATTTTCTCGGGAGCAAAGGGTAAGATCGCGTTTGGCTTTTGGCTTTTGCCTTCTTGTTTCTTCGTCTTCTGTAATCCGCTTCTTCTGCTTCTGGGAGAAGACGAAGACTGAAGACTCAGGTCTTCGGGGGTGTCTGTTTCTGCGAATTTTGTTGAATTGAATTTTAATTTTATTGGGTTTGGGTTGGAAAATTCAATGACCCGGGGGGGAAGACCGTGGGTGGGCCCCGGGGGACTTTAAGGCTGTGGGGACCATTGTCGGTCAATGATTGCATAAGTCAACAGATGCGGATAGTGGGGCCCTGCATGCCTGTCCAAGTGGCGGTCTGTATCTGCCATCCTGCCGTTAAACGCATAATTATTTTTTAATTTAGGAAAATAGACAACTTGAGACGTCTTAATGACACAAAAATTACATCATTACATAAATAATTGCAAGAATAATAGTTGCATTCTCTCTATGGAGAAATGCACATATGAGAATGAATTTTTATTGTATAAATTTCATATTAATTTTTATTTAAAATTATTCATACGAAAAAAACAGTCTAGTGTGTATACAAAAAAACTGAGTGTTGTTCTTTAAAAATCTGAGATGCCTTTTAACATTTGCCCTCGAATTACTCGACGAATTGTCTCTATGGACACTGCGCAGGATGGCTGCCAGACTCGTGCCATTGTTGTGCTGCTATGGGCATCTATTAGCACGCTCGTTCAAAAGCTATTGACATTAGTCAACATGCTCGCTCAATTATTATTGACAACAGTCCACATGCTCGCTCGAAAGCTATCAGCATCTACTGACAAGTGTGTAATATTAAACTTTGATAACGACCTCAGGCCTACCAAGACTTGATGAAATGCCAATTTGCATGCTATTACGTCCAAAAAAATTTACAAGCTAAGCGCGCTATTCTCAACAACCCCAATAATATTTCCTAAATCCGCCAGTGTATTATTCGTACTATCCATTGTTGGTCAAATCGCAATAAAAAATCTATAGATACAAATTATTCAAGAAATTCTCATACAAATGAATTATAGTGTACAAAATGTAAATGGTTAATCACGCTATAATGGTGTCCAATGAATTATATATTTTATCTTCAAAAATTAAAAATAAAAAACCGAAAATCTCCCTCTCTATTTGGTATTTCTGGCTCTGGTGGCACACAGCCATTGCCTTGGGGTCTCAATGTCGTCACCTGTGGTTGTTGGCACGTGCCACTCCCCATCCTCTGCTTCCTGTTTAAGGATTTATCAACAATGCACTATTTAACTAAACCAAAGGGATCAGATGACGCTTTATCGCAATGACAAAGAACAATGATGTTTATTTGTTAAACAATGATGTTTGTTTGTTAAAAAAAAAAAACTAAACCAAAGGGATCAGATGACGCTTTATCGCAATGATAAAGAAAAACCGGATTAACGAAAAGAAATGAGATTAGTATCAGCTGATTATCGCACCTGGATTACAATCGAATACGGGGGTGGCATATGAAGGTTAAGTCCGCGCCTTGATACGGACAATCGAACCTGCAATGTAAACGAACCAATGTAACTGCACAGTTTCTGTTTTCGAATTTCTTGTTACCGGCATTGCCATGCTAATGTAAGAAAGAAATCCAATAGCAGCTAAGATCCAGTTTCAATTTTCTTCCCCCTTGTTATCTTTGAGAAACTGGGGGATGGTTTTGAATACGGATCCAAGCGAAGAAAAAAACCTCAAGCTCTTTGTGTATGGACAACAAACGTCTACATACAGAAGATTCTTCTAAACTACGAAAACAATAATCAGCAGACGCATGATACCTGGTGTCTTTCCTTCCATCTTGGGAAAAAGCTAGTCCCTAGAAGTTGGAACAAGTGGTCTCTCATCTCATCGTTCGTCACCATCAAACACTTGCAATTAACAGCAGCGTACAACCAGTACCTACAAATCGCATAGGACTACATTTTAGGCACAGCTAAACTCGGTAATAAGTAGAGACAAGTGTGATTTTTCGACGATTTAAGCCATGGAAACAAATTGCAGTATATATCGACTACAACTATTCATGTCTAATAACTCAGTCCAACCATTTGATTGGTCAAGAGATGCAAACTTACCAATCATCATTTGAACCAACTGGAGTAGAGTAAAGTGCACCGGACTTTTTCCAACTCTCTAACAATCTCTTGTTATTAGGATTCTGAGCGGGACCACCAGTTACACGATTTTGGTGCAATATAACAAGTGGCAATCGCTTTGATGGGCTCATTTGGCGTAACCTGTTCACCAGAGTATCGAGCTACGACAAAGATGGAGTCACTAAGCAGCCCATTCATATATCTGATACGAAGAAATCAAAAGACAGAGTGTCACGAAACTAATCATAGTCTACCACTCACCTGGAAAAAGCTGAAATTATGTTGATTGACCAGACCAACATTGGCACCATCTACAACAGCATCGAATGGACCATGCCTTTGAAGCCACTCCTGGATGAGTTTAACTTCTAATCAATCAGGACAGCTGACAAACATATTATATATCATTTGCCTGAATCGAACAAAATAAAAAGTATAGACGAATAATGACTAATTATCGAAACCAACATCATGAATACATAACAGGAAAACACAAGAAACCTCTCCCTTACTGCTTCCCACACAAGGGGTTGGTGTTTTTCTAATAAAGTTGTGCCTCCCAATAAAGTTCCATTTTTTGCCAGACCTAGTTACGAACTTATTTATTACACTAGTACCAGTATCACACAATCCATATAACTCCACAAGGCCCTCCAAGCGGAGCTCTCCTCGTCAATGTAAAGATATGAATATAAAGATGCATATCAAGCAAGTTAAATCATTTGAGCAAACCAGATAAGTCAATGCAATCATATATGCTAAACTTGCATCAAGGGTAAACATTTTTCTTAAATCTTAGACACTGAAGACAAACAAACAAGGAAAGCAGAGTCACACCTGGAATCGAATGAAATCACCCCGAACCTCCCTTTGGCTAGCCAATTTGCTCAAAGAGGTAGCAAAATTCTCGGTCTCTTTCGGATCAATGTCGATAGAGACAAGCTTTTCGCCGCAACAAGAGCATGTCCCTGCTTCATCCATCTGAGTCCTCTCCACTCTCCAATTCCCACTCCCAAGCCACCCTTGCCCATGCCACCCTCCACCTCCTCTAACAACCCCTTCCCTCACCTTATTCACATCCCAAGTCTCCACCCCAACTTTCGCCGCCTCCTCGGACTTAAACCACTCCTCCACCACCCCATAAGTTGACTCCGAGACCTGCCTCACCGTGGTCCGCAACCGGTGCAACATCTCATAAACCTTGTCACCTCTGCTCGAATCAGAACTAACTTTTATCAAAGCAGTGATCTCAGGTTCCTCCGCCACAACCCCGGATTCAACCATGTGAGCATCAACCTCATAAGCTCTATCGGCCTCCCCCTTCTTACAGAACTCAAACAATGCCGGACCGTAAGACCTCAATTTCGGCGGAAGTCCTAAACCCTTCATCTGCTTCACCAAATGAAACGCCATTTCCGGGTCCTCCCCCGCGATTGCCAACCTCGCCGCGCTGGTAAAAGTGGCCTCATTGGGGACAACCTTATCCTCAACCATCTGGCGAAAAATCTCAAACCCCCTCTTCAAACCCATATCACCGTCATCACCGCCGCCATTGGAGGAGCAAAGGTAGAGCAAAACATTGTAATGGTGCAGGCTAAGCGGGACCCCATTGCTCCTGGCCTCGTCGTAAAGGCTCAGAGCTTGGACCAGCTGGCCGTGCCTGGAGCACATGTCTAGCTTGTGCCTAAGGACCCCCTCCGGAGATTCCCGCCGCGCTTTCTTCATGGCTTTGTTGGAAACCGCCGGAGACGACGGCGACGGCGAGTTATCGGAGAGAGCCAGAGTGCAAAGGTTGAGTCTTTTGTCCATGGAGAAGCTGTCGGTGGAATTCAGGGTCGGTTTAGGTTTCGGGGAGCGGAGAATTGGGCGGAAGAAACGGCTGGAGGTTCGGAAAATTAGGGGGAGTGGGATTTTGATGAAGAAGGAGAAGAGCGGCGAGGTTCTTGGCAGAGCGCCGCCGTGCAACATTTTTGTTTCTATTTTTTGGGTTTTTTGTGAAATTATAAATTGCAATAGAAAGGAAGGATTGGATTATGGAAAATAAGTCGGAGGATTTCGTCTGGCATTCATGTCTGCTCGGACATGAACTGGGTGAGAATTCCGCAGAGGTTTTGGAAATCTCTGCACTTAAAACCCTAGCTAAAACTACTTGATCGAGGAAACGACACGTCGTAATATCTTTATCTTCTTTTTCTCATAGGGAAAAGGCTTTGTAGCCAAAATAATTTTTAAGAATACGTATGTTATAACTCCTCATTTTGATTTTGACATTGAAATTGATAAAAATGATCCTGACTTCTGAGTACATCCACCGTCAAATATTTCGATCATTCTGTGAAAACATCTCTGTTAATGGAAAAGTGTGAAAATTCTCCGTTAATAGAAAAACAAGTGGATGAGTTGATTGAACAAAAATAACCTCATTTTGGCTAAAAACGAAATAGTTATTAAGCGTTACTTTTTAGCTTTATTTTGGTGAAGGGGGGAAGAAACTAAAAATAAAATGACTATTCAATGGAAATTTTTAGCTTTGTTTTGGTGAAGGAGGAAGAAACTAAACAAAAATGGTTTATGCAACGAAAATTTTTAGCTTTATTTTGGTGAAAGGAGAAGAAACTAAAAACAAAATGGTTATTTAACGAAACTTTTTAGCATTGTTTTGGTAAAAGGAGGAAGAATCGTACAACCCACCGAAGTTAACTTTCATCAATGTCTTCAGCTTATTTGGATGTCCAGTTTCAATGAGATAACAAATCAGCTAACGTATACACCTATAAATCCAGTTCTTTCTTCTTCTTTTTTATCAATGTGTTCAACTAAGCATTGTATACCAGTTAATTTGCTCTTCAAACAAGATCCACAGCCAAGAAATAACTTCCGACCATGGCCAATGATGCGATCCCGCTGCGAGCCATCCGTAACCCAAGGCTGCGGAACAGGAGATTCCTGTCTGAATGGTGGATCCCTGTAACTCTCTCAAACCTATTCCCTGTTCTTTGCCATTTCAGAAGCTTCCTCTCCGTCGAGACATACTGCTCACCACAAAACACAAATATATGACATTCATAATCAAAGCAACCTTTATAAAAGACGACACTCATTGCTCAACATCTTCTTGAAGTGATGCTAGCAAGCGGCATCTAAGTATGAATCAAGATAGGTGTATCGTGCCCAAACCCGACTAAACTTTGCTAAAAACCAGTAACAGACCTTGGGAAGCACGGTACATTTTGATCGAGATTTGGCAGTGTCCAAACAATGAGAAGCAGCTGCAGCAACAGAACCAGATATTCCAGCCGCAATACTAACAGCCAAGGGAGAGGGTGGACCGATTTCATCATCCGACCTATGAGAAAGCAAGTTCACTTCACAAGGAAGGAAAAATGGAAACATAAAACAATGCAACTTTGTCCAACAGGTGCTCCTTTTAGCAATGCAAACAATGGTACTTCATGATGTCATTGAACTAAGATACAGGTTAGTCGATAGCATGTTGCATTAATACCTGGGTTCAGGATCCATCCCCACCGCCTTCCAGTCAAGCATTGCACGGTGCAGAGATTGCCAAGTAGAAAAGAATATGCCACCAAAAACTGAATCCCGAACAACTCCTGGCCGTAGACCTCTCCATAATGCACCCCATCCTTCCAAAGAGATGATTTCAGATGGTTTCCTGACACTGAACACTGAGGGTGGCTTCCCAGATCCTGTCATCATCCATGGGTACCCTTGTAAAGCACCCGTCATATTAGGATGCTTGGTTGTTAGGGTGGATAAAAGGGCAACAGAAGAATTTAATGCCTTCATGTCTGGACTACACCCACGCAACAAATTTTGAATCACAGGTACAACAGCTCCCTTTTCTGGGAGAGGGGCCGAGTTTGGAATGCAAGAAGCAGAGGTCACCTGGGCATGAAGTTTCATAAGATCAAAGGGAGAGCTTATTAGTGATTCTGCAACACCAGCGACAAGTCCTGCCAGGAGGACCTCAGAGACGTAGACGTAGTTATCTGCTCTACCATCTACCAAAGAAGTATTTGCGCAAGAAGAGATGTCAGGAAGCTGTAAATCAAATCTAACAAAGATAAAATTTTGGTACCATGTGTATGCACATATTTATTATTAGTTACCCAAAAATGAAGAGAACTACCTTTATAAAAGGCAGTCAAAATTTCATATGTTCCAAAACGAGCTCCCAACCCCAAAGTTCTTCCCGCTGCTAACCATAGAAAACCATTGTACAAACCTACAACATGCATCACAGGCCAAACTTATCAGCAAGCACAACACTGGGTAGGAGATGAATCCTGTAAGCATAAATAGAAAGCAGTGGAGAAAACAACAGGACTTGAAAAAACTAATGAAAATCGGGGACGAACCTGAATTTCCTGAAAAATATCGAACTCTCTTTAAAACCTAAGAAGTTGTCAATTGATTACTAGATCCTGAACCAACCTGTTCTCTCAAAAAAGAAAACAAATGAGGATTCAGGTAAGAAGCAGATTATGACATGGCTCTCCACAAAGCAAAAAACTTGTAAAGCATCAGAAATCTAGGCAATGATGCTGGGGAGCAAACCTGAATAAGGGTTTTGATTGTATCAAGAGGGTAAGTAAGAGCTGTGCCTAATGCCACCGACCCTACACCGGAAAGTGCATGGATTGCAAATACAACTCCTCCATCTATAAATTCAGTAAATATCAAAGAAAAAGTAATATTTATAATCAGCAGTTGAGATATAGCTTTATATCCCCATTCAATTTTTACTTGACAAAGATTTCTTTGTAACGCTGTTCCACACATGTACTCGACAATTTTCAGATACAAATGCTTGACAGTCGGTAACGCATAAGCAAACAATAAGCAGGCATTGTGCAAAAATATTGCAGAATCAAAACCAACACTCAGACCACAGACCGACCCGAATGCTCAGAAAAAATATTTTGTCTTTCTAACTGGAACCCAGTAGGCAGAAACGAAGACCCAATACAATATACACAAACATTGGTCCCTTTGCGGCACTTAAACAAACACCTTGTCTGCAATATCCTACAAAGATGAAAACCCGATAAACTGACAGGAAAATGACGTAACCATGTACAAAAAATGCTTAAAACGAGTGTTTAGCAATTAGCATTCGATGTTTGAAATCTCATCGGAAAATATGTTACCGGCTCCGGCGCTGTTCATGTCACTTTCTTTTTCGTTTCCCTTCTTCAAATTCTTCTGTGAATTTTCAGCTCTCAACAATTTTATATGAAGGCGGAAATGCAAGATTACTGAAAGAAATTCAACTGCAATCGCAAAACGTTTTATTTTTATTTCTGAGGTTCAAAAGTACGATCGAAGCTCTGGAGCTGCGGAGCACCGCGGAGCAGCGAGAGCACTTCAGCAACGGAGGAGCTGAGGAGGGAATGGAAGATTGGTTTTTTGGGCCTGAGACCTTTCAGTCGAAGCCCAAATCATATTTGATAACGCCCCGTTCAATGATATTTTAAACTACTCTAATTTATAAAATAAGAATTCACAAGAAAAAAATAAAATATATGATAAGGATTCAAGCTTAGGTGCGAGGACTAAGGGGACGGGCACACTGTCAGACTACCTTGAAACGACAACGAAAGTTTCAAAATCGACAACGAAGTGTTTTGAGGACTTTCTGGAACAGCTTTATACACAGCATGCCTTTGTAACGCGGAGCGTTGCAGATTTCGGGTGGTATTCCGAAAGGGAGCTCACAAGTAACAAGTTTCCCTGTTGTATGCTAATGCACGTATTATGGGATGTATTAAACCTACTGGAAATTACACGGTACACCGGAAAGAAAGATCTGAACCTGAAACTAGAACTTGCAACTAAATTCTCTGATCCAGAAGACATCGCTAACTATCGATCAGCGATTGAATTCGCTGACAATCTCGTGTAAACTGTACATACTTTTCTCAGTACAAGTATCTGAAGGGAAGGTTAGGCATTCATTATATGGACAAGGAGGAGGCTTACATAGTCCATGGCGCTTACATTTCTCAACAACAGCAACAATAAGAACAACAATGACGCCGGTGACAAGAACAACCCCACTTGAACCAAGAAAAGCAACGAAACCAATAGGTGACTTTTGATTTGGTCACTTTTTTAGGCGATAATCTGACTGGTGGTTGTGGCGGCGGCTGCTCCAGACACGGCTCAGTAGCCTTCACAGAACTTTTCATCCCATCTGTCAATCTGCATAACAGAATGCACATACCAGTCACAGACCATAGATTTTGAGCAAAATGGAAAGATAACAAATGCATTCATGATTGTTGAAGAAAATTTATGTTTTCACTTAAAGCCCGACGAATGGCCACCATAGCTAAAAAGACATGCATACATGGTTGAAAAAATACAACACAATCTCTTTTGGCTACAGCTCCACGGATAGCAGAACACCCAGCTACAGTTAGAACAATAGCAGCTTGGCCATGTAACATAGCAGAACGCCCGGCTACAATTAGAACAGTAGCACAATGGCTATGCACGCTTCTTTATTCTGCAATAAACAAAGGGTGCATTCTTCATGGACCAAGTTCAGGGTCTTGGATCTTGGCCAATAAAAGGAATGTTTTAGGTTTGTGAACTTTGTTACTACTATGCATACAGGAACAGACATACAGATGATGTCTCCTTCCTGTACGCACAAAATTCTGTAGGCAGGCATATGTCGGAATTTTGTGTGTGCATGAGCATATTACACATACGAAACTGCATGTAGGCTCATCCTAAAATAAGAATGCATTACATCCAATAGAAAAGTAGGGTACATCCATGCACAATTCACCTTAGATAATGTATATAGACGTACATTGGGAAGGCAAAAGAGCGTGTGCTAGTCCCACTCCCATCAGAACGGCGAGAGAGGCTAGGGGATTTTCCAAATACAGTTGGCGGTTGTACCCTTCCCTCACTATGATCTTCAGCATTTGCTCTTGCTATGTCCTTGATGGTCTCATCTGCCACTCCAACTCCAGATTTCCTCACTTCTTCAATCCTGTCACTTTCAATTTCTACCGCTGGAACTGGAAGAGCTGGATTGAGCGAAAACAACTCGCCTGATTTGTACAGTTCCCCAGACTTGCCCAAATCACCGAGAAAAAATGTGTGGTCTCTGGAAAAGCTGTTGTTGCCTAAATGAATGCTAAACAATGACTCATTGGATGCAACACTCCAATCCATTTCTTTGTTGGATTTACTTGTTGAAAACACAGAAGTCGGGATCCTGTAAGGATCATATCCACCACACCGATCCATAGTTTGGATTGAAGGGGAATCTGTTGGTGACAAACCAGGCACCATGGACCCATGGGTGACATCAGAAGCTCGGGATGTTGATGCGGGACCTACAATGTTATAGTCATCATGTTTAGAGACGGAAGCAGTATGTGTTGAAGTTGTAATTCTGTTTGTATCCACTTGGAATAGATCTTCCAATGACGAGTCTGATGCCAACGAAGACAAAGAGGATATAGAGATTAGTCTTCTGGTTGGGACAGGACCACCTTCATTAGCAGTAGCCTCTGGAAGTATTGTTAAATGGCTACTGCTATCACTCCCATCAACAACCTTTGGTGTTTCAGGGTGCTTACTGCCTTCACTCCCATCAACAACTCGTTCTGACTTCTCGCTGTTCTTGCTTCGAGGTTCCAAGTCCATTACTGAAACAATGCCCGAAACAAATTTCATAACAGAAATAATTGATAAATTTTGCCTTCAAATGCCAAAATTATCTCTTCTAAAGTACTTAATCCAGAGTGAAATGATATGGATTTCCAACTTGGTTTCATGAATAAAACATAACTATGATTTGCAAGCTTGGAAATGCTTCGCGAAACACGCCTATCTAGATAATATGACATTATCAATTTTATATCTTATCCGACTTGACTTCTCATTCCGAGCAAGTAAACACGTTACACGTCAATGACATGAATGAGTACAACAACAACAACAATCAAGCCTTATCCGGCTGTATGAATCCTAGAATGTCACTGCGCCCGGTTTTGCAATCAAATCTTCCATTAGCTAATGACATGAATGTGTAATGAAACCAAAAGCTTAAGACCTAAAATATTTACAATTTCATGAATTCTCGTGTCAACAATTTACCAATGTACCTGCATTAGCTATCATTTCATGGAAACAAAAATCAAATAATAAACAGAGAAAAAATGTCCTTCCTCCATAAAATTCTTAAAAATTAATTTTCATATAAAGGATATGAATTTGATAGCTAAATTCAAATTGATTAAAAAATTAAATAAAATAGATAACAAAGGAAAGAAGCTCACCTGAATCATTAGAAATAAGCCCTTAAAATTCCCAATTCCATATGATCCTATCGGCGATCAGCATTCCTCTGCCTCCTCCTCGCCTCGATTTCATATATATTTTTGGTAGAATTAAACCTTCCCTCGCCTCAATTGAATTACTAAATTCCCAAATAAATTAAAAACATTTTAAAAAAAATCTTCAAAAACAAATTGAATGCGTAAGAAAGGAGAAAACCCCTATGATTGCTAAACCCTAAGTTTGATAAATATAAACAAATAAATAAATGAAATTAGGAGTGAAAGTTGTGGCCGTTGAATATCTGAATTTGTGGTTTTTGGGATATAATAATTGATGTTAAAAAATTAGGGTTTGTGAGTGGGAAAATCTGGCGACGGAAGGCGCCGCGAAACTTTCGGCGGTTCTTTGGGTTGCCTCCGTATCTGTAAGCCTTTCGCGCCATCTTTAACTTTCTGTTACCTTCTTTGGGCGCTGGAAGGCCAATCTTATGCTCGCCTACTATTCCGGTTGCCGGGACTCATCCACTAGCGTGATGCCACGTAGTAGGAGGACAAGGGCGTCGTAGTTATATAGTTAGTTCTGAAAATATAAACTACGTGTATGCTACATATTAATAAAATTTTATTTGTCGATCAAAAAGGGTGAGAAAACTATTTAATTTTCTATCACAAAATTAAAAAAAATTAAAGACAGTAACGTAATTTTATAAAATAAATTTTACTATTTTTTTGTTTAAATATCACCTACAGGTGTTTTTAATATCTTTATTTTTTAAATTTTTAAATAAATAAATAAATCCCTCTCTCCCCACTTTCTCTCTCTCTCTCTCTCTCTCTCTTTATTCAATTTTAAAAACAAAATAAAAAAATTCACAAGTGTGGGGATATGTTAGTTCTTATTATTTTATTTTATTTTTACTCGTATATATTAACGAAACTTCGTATGTCTATCCAAGATCAATAAAATTACTATTATACCCTTAAGATATAATTGAAAGAAAATATTAGAAAAGAAAAAAAAATATATGAGCATTAAAATAATTTCTCAAGTTTTAGTTGTTTTTTTCGAAACCTCACAGCCATGTACACTTATTGATACAAACCTCACATCTCTCTCCCCCCTAACTGTCAACCCCTTTTCTTCGACGTTTGCTCGTTAAAAAAAAAAAAAAAAAAAAAAAAAAAAAAAAAAAAAACTCATTCTATAAAAGAAATTAAAAAAAAACAAGAAAAATAAAAAAATGTTTTACACACAAAAGTGTGTGGCCTTTGCTACCATATATTAGAGGAATGAGAAAAACTTTAGAAAAAATCCTTGCGACTTGTAAGCAATTTATGTAAATTAGGATGAAAATGCTATAAAGTGATTTGAATGTAATAAAAGTTGATAAGGGAAGTATAAAGGTTGGGCTAGAGAAATGCTAAGAAGACTATCAAAAGTGAGATTTTAAGAAACATTTTATATTTTTCTGTCACCTTATGTTTTTTGCAGAATATTTATAATATTGATACGAAAATTAACCTTAAAATGTAGCAGAAAATTCATAGAGAGTCTCTTTAGTATTTGTCTTTTAACATGATAAATTTGTTTGTGAGGTGTTATTAGTACTTTAAAAATCTCATTATTCATTCCTCACAAGCGTATTTTTCTTTCTAAATATAAAAAATTTAAAATATAGAATGAGATTTTTAGAGTGCTGATAACAATGTTGAAAACAATTGACGTTGTCAAGTGTGTGTTGAAATAAGTGTTTGTTCGATTCAAATCACGAGTTTGTTAGACAGGTGACAAATGAATCCGCGGATAGGGACACTAGCATTAACCCATTAAAATTCTCTAATTATTATAATATTAGATAATAAAAAATAAAATTAAAAAGGAAACGGGGGCGGGGGCGGGGGCGGGGGCGGAAGGCGGGTTGCTATCTCAGCTTTCCCGGAGTAGTGTCATCGGCCTCTCCTGTCTCACTAAGACCAGGAAGCACATCCTCCGCTTCTCTCAATCTTGAGCTACCCACCATTTCCAATCCCGGGTCGGAATCCCGAGCTCTTTCCTCAATGTAATTATCGTTAATCTTCGGTTTTTTAGATTCTCTATCACTTGCTGATTTCTTCGATGAGTTTCTCTAATTGTTTAGTAAACTATATAGTTTGAACTAATGATGGATTGGATTGGATTATATTGGATTGAATTTAGCTTCTTCTGCTCGAGACTGTTTGAGCAATTTTTTATTTTATTTTTATTTTTTATTTATAGAAATTGGATCAGCTAAATGAGTTGTATTAGGCCTTCGTTTGGCAGCTATGACTATACCTACTATTTCAGTCAGATGATAAATAGTCATCGGATAGTACTGACTAAATTAGTCAGGCTGATTAATATGTGCTTCGGATAATACGTCAGACTATAATAATTTTTCTAAATGATTTTCACAGAAAACCAAGAAGAATTTAAAGTTCCGTTCTTTTTCTTGTTTGCAATGAGTAGGGTTCATCAGCTGATACTTTCTGCATTCAAAGTTGCTTTCTTTATTTGTATTTTTGATGAAATTATGATGTTGAATTTACAATTTTCCGATTCTGAATTTAGATATGCGCCAAGAACATGATGCGCATAGATATGGTGGTTGCACTTTCATAGATAGAACTCCGCCGATAACTAGGTTGCTCAAACATGAATGTGGTTGCTTGGGCTGCATTTTAGTACAGTTTGATATGCACCGACGTGTAAGTTTCCTTCTTCCTGGTTTTGGATTGGAACCGAAGAAGGGTGAATAAAATCCAATGGAAGGATCGCGATCGCGAACCCCTTTACTTCCTTCTGATCTTCCAGAATCCACCTCCTCTAATAATACTGGAAGCGCTCGTGGGCTGTCTGGTATTCAGGGACTGAAGAAGAGAGGTCATGGAAGTCGTTCTTGGATAAAGATTGATCTGCATGGGAATATAAGCATTTTGGAGCTTGACAAAGCTACTATAATGAGACATTGTTCGTTGCCTGGCAGAGATCTCCGACTTTTGGATCCTTTGTTCATTCACCCTTCTACAATACTAGGAAGGGAGAAAGCTATTGTTGTTAGTCTTGAACAGATCAGGTGTATAATCACTGCTGACGATGTTATCCTGATGAATTCCCTGGATGAAAGTGTTGCTCAGTACAAGTTTGAATTGTGCAAACGCCTAGAGTCAAACGAAGATCAATCTGGTACGGAAACTACTTCTACATAATAACTCATATTTTTTACTGCCTTGGGTTTTACTCGTAGTTTTCCGATGTATGTGAGTAAGAAATCGATGTTGAATGCATTTCTAACGAGTCTAATTTGATTCAGATGACTTGCCTTTCGAGTTCAGAGCATTGGAGCTGGCTTTGGAGCTAACCTGCATGTCTCTAGATGCTCAGGTATCAATCTATTTGCAGCACAACCCTATCAACCAATTTTGGTACATGTTTCATTTATGTTTTAGATAACCCCAGGAAGTTCTTTGTTCACTATGTTCTGGTGGTATAGCTATCCCCAGATTGGTAGAGTCCCTAGTCATGTATTTATTATTGGTCATAACTCTATATGTAATTTTGTTGTGAATTCATATATCATATGAAGTAAAAATTGACAAAAACCAGGAAAGGAAGCAGGATCATCATCAGCACAAATCCATTATGTTAATGAAGTTGTTCATCAATGTGATAGGCACAGCAACTGCAAATGGAGATATACCCTGTGCTGGATGAACTAGCATCATCGATAAACACTGTTAATCTGGAGCGTGTGCGTAGACTCAAAGGTCACCTCCTTGCATTGACTCAACGAGTTCAGAAGGTAAGGTAATTCTATTGGCAACCAAAAATTTGCTCTCTGAACCTCAAAAGAAGTAGTAGCATCTTCATTTTACTCTCATTCGTTTCTGTTTTAGAGAGAATTTTTTTAATATACGTGTTCTCTGCTCTTCATCTCCTCATTATAATTGCTTTTAATTTATCTAGGTCCGTGACGAAATAGAACATCTCATGGATGATGACGGTGATATGGCTGAGATGTACCTTACTGAGAAGAAACAACGGTCAGAGGGTTATCCCTCTAGTGACCTTGGTTTTCAAACTAACACATCACGCGAGGAAACAATTGTTTCAAAATCTGCTCCTGTTTCTCCAGTGGGGTCATTCAGTGGAACACATAAATTGCAAAGGGCTTTTACCAGTTTTGTGAGTTCAAGCAGGCAGGGAAGCTTATTGAGTTCGTCTAATGGCGGAGAAAACATTGATAAACTGGAAATGCTGCTTGAAGCATACTTTGTTGTCATCGACCATACTCTCAGCAAGTTGTTATCGGTATGAGATGTTTTACGTTCAGTGAATACTTTATCTATTTATTGGCTTGAAAGAATGCAGTGGTGGTATGAAGATTTGATTAAATATTAAACTGGCAATAAGTGATTGACAACAGCATATGTCTTGTTTTGGTTATGCAGCTGAAAGAATACATAGATGATACCGAAGACTTGATTAACATTAAACTGGTAAGGAGTGATAAACGCTTCTGCTTTCTTAATTACCAAAATATATGCACAATAACATTGCGCTTTGTCTGGGCAGGGCAATGTTCAGAACCAACTGATACAGTATCAGTTGCTTCTTACAGCGGCTACCTTCTTGGCTACTGCTTTTGCCGCTGTTACAGCAGTGTTTGGAATGAATTTTGCCGCCACTGTTTTCGATCATCCATCTACATTCAATTGGGTTCTGGTTATTAGCAGTGTTGCCTGTGGGTTCCTGTACTTCTCTTTTCTGATGTATTTTAGGTACAAAAGGATCTTCCCATTGTAAGGTAAAAGTATATACTTAAATGAAATCGACGACTCACATTCTAGTGGTGAAACTGAGTGTTCTATCACGCTTAAAGAGCTTCAACGACGAAATAATTAGTGAAATTCCTAGACTAATATACATGCATTGCATCTTTTTCTAATTCTCGTTAACTTAAAATCTCAAAGAACCGTTACCAACACTCCAAAAATAATCATACAGCACTTTGTATGACGATTTTTGTGGAGTACCAATAACAGGTCTCCAACCGCATATGCAGCACTCTTCATCTTTCTATTCAATCAACCTCATTGCGTACATATACCAAATCCATTAAACGCACCTTCTTTTCACTGGCTTCAATTGCTGCCTCGAGTTCCATGATTCGTGCTTCGAGCCTCGACTCGACCACTTCATACAGGCGCAAACTCAGCTCCTGAGGCGACACACCTTTGTTAATTTCCTCCTGAGTGCTCTCTTCCAAAATCTCTAGTTCAGCTAGGAGTTCTGCCTCGATTTTTCTCATTGCTTCGACACCGTCCTCCATCTGATCATCGAGCCTTTTCGCAACACGTATGTTCGATCTCTCAGATTCTCGTACGTCGAAGGAGGTAATGATCTGCTTCTCAGTTCCCTGGATTTTAAAACGCTCCTCCTCCTCATGTAAACTTTGGACCAACTTCTGAGTCTGCTTCAACAACTCATTCAACTTGTCAACTTCTCTTTTACGTGCACTTATAGTATATATTGCTCCAATAGTGATTCCAACAAAGAAAAGCAGCAGTCCATTTTTTGAACCTGAAAAAGTAAAAATTAAACATAAACGTCATGCGAATAGAAGGGAATTGTTATTACAACTCCAAAATAGTCATTAACGACTCATTCCTCCTCTTTTTTTTTGTCGGGGAAGAGTACATGACGACTTTTTTGAAGTATTGATGACAGATTCCTAATAAGAATAGTGTAAAACCTTGTGAATCAAACGGGCTGCCAGCCACCGGTTTAGTTGAGCCGCTACATCTCCTCCTCCTCCTTCCCTGCCGCCACGCCGCCTTTTCCTCGCTCTCTAACCACACGTCATTGACTTGGCTGCCATTGTTAACCAAAAATGGCCCCAATGCCAAAATACAAGGTGATGCACAAGATGGGCTATACACATCCTCTTCCACTCTGGCATTTTCCCCATACAACACCACCTGAGCCAATAAGCAGCTTTCCGTATAATTAAGTGCTTTTAGAGAATGCCCTTTTGATTTAACTCCAAGACATCTGCTTTTCTCTAGTCTTTGATGAAAAAGAAACCCAGCTTTTTCTGCTACAACAAAATCAGAAACCAGTTCCCCAGAAGACTTTGTCAGCTCATCGCCATCATCACCTGATTTATCTGCAACACCTTCCCTCTATCTGGAAAACCATTTGTGCCAATAACACTTCGCCACGTAACCAGCCCCAGTGGCTGCTGTTGCTGCAGCTATAATCCAAAAATCCATAGCCTCTTTTTTTGGTCAATTCTGATCTTCAAAAACCAAAAACGAAAAGGGTTTTTGGTGAAATCCGTCTGTCTTGATCGAAAAGATGAAGAAAAGGGAGGAGATCCAATTTTTACTCTTCCTTCAAAAATGGTTGGTGGTGTCGATGATAGCAAATCCACAACGGCTATATTAATAATAGTTGGTCACGCAAAGAGTCGTTCTTCCTTGCCCACGTATGAAAATTTCAAACGGTTTTAACGAGATATTTTTCTATACATGTTGGACTGAAAATTAAGGAGGAATAATTCCTTCACACTTGAGGAGCCGAGCAGTGTTCTAGGCTGAGAGTCAAATTGGTAAGTTGGTCATTCCTGTTGGCTTGTAGGTATCAAATATTTGAAGGAAATCCGGAAAATATGAAAAAATTAGGTAATATATAGCAGGTGCATTGAACTACCGCAGAAACGTTCACAGCACGTCCTAATTGGACAGGGAATTTAAAAAGGTTAATTAGCATAAATAGTCACGAATATTCCTGATTAATCCAATTTTATATACATGGGAAGAGTAATGATCCGTTTATTTCACTCTGTAGTAACAAATATTTACTTTCCAGATCATGAGGCAAGTGTGGTGCTAGGGCAGCTATCAAGCGGTGCAGGCCAAGATGTCCCTGTAATCTCTGGATATTCTGAACGAGTCATAAACCTGCCCGTCCCTGCTCTTCTTGTACTCGAACAAAAGGTTCGAGTGATCGAATGCTGTGAGCTTCACGAATCCATGGTCGAAGTCTTTAAAAACACTCCATTTCGTTTGGATGGCGAAGTAAACGGTTGACAGGCCTTGCTCCTGCACCACCAGCAGCCACATGTATTGTTCCATTCAAGCTGCCCTTGTAATGGCGTTTCTCTTCATCGGTGCAAATATTCTGTTCGCCGAAAACACGCAAGAAATTTTTTATTGTAACTTAAAAAAATTCTAACTTACTTCCTATTTACGCAATGGGAAAATGTACCTGGTATATGGGACAGGTTCTTTCGTAGTTATGGACATGGCCATAGATGCCAATGTCGACCTTATACTTTTGCCAGAGTTTTTGGAGGCTCTCCCTCCCCATTGGTTCTGCAAATGATCCTTCTTTCGCGTAATAGAAATCCTGAAGAGTATCCCAGAACTCGATGTGCGAGAAATATTAGCCAGGGTTGCTTCTGCCTATCAACTGATGCTAAGCAGTGCTCGATGAACTTGTACTGCTCCGTGCCCTCTCTCCAGTCATGTTCCGTGTCTGCTATGCAGAAGCGAAACATGCCGTAGTCCAGTCTTGTACCTGAATTAAGAAATAACATTCCTCAGAAATGAAGATCTAATCAAAATTGAGGATTTCTGACACGATATTCGCATACCAAAACTTAGCTCTGTTCTCTGTGGGAACATAGAACATATTTTCAGCCAACACACCGCATTCACCTCCTGAATCCATGTTCTCGATAGAAAGAACCCTGTTCCTGGCCAGTCTCGTTCATGGTTTCCACTGAAAGCAAAAATAAAAATCACCGAAATTAGATAAAGATGATATCTTGTTCAAAGCAAGTAGGGAAATTAAACAATGGTGCAAACCTTGCAATCATGTAAGGAACAGTTGATGCTATTGGTTCAACCTGTGCAGTAAATTGGTCCCATTGTGAAAGATAACCATTTCGCATAACATATATCCCCAATGTGGAAGACTATATCGATGTTTTTCAAGTCACGAATAAGTTGCTTAGTAGTGTTAAGCGAACCTGGCTGGAAGTTGTTGTATTCATTGGAACCATCAGCTTCATCCTGCATGGTAAAATATGAGGATTTAGTACCATAAGAAGAAACAAAAATCATTATGGGGTCAAAAATTTCATCGAAACGAACAGATTTTTGAAGTGAGTTTGAACCTTTCCCATGTCACCGAAAATGACTACACGCTGTAAAGAATTTTGACCAGGATAAGGGGATGCTCTAAACTGATACGTTTGACTCCAAATGTATGTACCATTAAACAATCTATGCCCCAGCTTGTACGTGTACCTGCATAAAAGTGATCTTCATTTTAACCGGTGTTTTGCCATAAAATCCAACAGCTGTTGGTGAAATATTTGACATTGTACTCATTGAATAATAGTTCATGGTTGTATCGTAAACTCGTGTAGTTAACAGGTTACTATAAAACTCACTCCTCGTTCAAGAAAATTGTATATACAGAATTTTAACATACTGTCTGCTTGGCCACAACTCCTTCAGAAAACTAGTATGTATGAATCCAGGGTCACGCCATCCCACTGTTCTTGCTGGTGCACCTGCATACGTACATTGACAAGATAAACTGTAAAGCCACAAAAATTTTAAGAAGGATTTAACAATGCAAAAATTTACCTTCGAGTCTTTGTAGGCTCCTACATTCTATGAAATATACATGTTCGGCAGCAAAGATTATAGACTAACAACTGGTTTTACTGTTACGAATACTGGTTTTATCTTCACTTTATAAATTAGCCATGCCGATATCTATCATTAATAAAAACGACTTTAGATTGATCGTGTTTTCTCTTTTCTTCTCCCTTTTTGTATGGGTGAATTCAAAATAGAAACAAGGCGCAAGAGAGTTACACACCACACAAGCTACGACGATCAAAAGTTAGCGTCACAGCTGGGGAACGCGTAGTTTCTCCTCTCGGACCCCATTCAACAAAAGGTTCTGCGTCATTGATCCCATATCCACTTGTCCATGTTACGGTCATCTGAGTTTAGTACAGAACCATATGGATTACCTTCATTAACCATCTTCTTAAATATATACATTTCTTTGAAAACACCTGTTTAAATATGCATGCTGTTTGCTTTGAGGATTTGAACTGGTGCATATGGCGGGGAGTAGGAAACTATAACTTACTTCATTCCATTCTTTTCCTTGTGCTATGCGCGGGTAAACTGGTGCATCTGGATTGGCGAAAGCTATATGATTTGACACCGCCACCACCCTTGGCTATTGAGCAGAAAAGAAAGAATCAACAAATTGCAGCATCATTAATTCAACGAGTTCAGTTTTGGAAACCACAGTACTCAGATCAGTCTTCTATGTGTGAAGGACAAACACATGAAAAAGCTACCACAGAGACAGGAGAGTTCGTCAAACAGTTGCAAAAGAAACCTTTTTTCCAGCTAGATTAAATGCATGCAACGGGATTGATTAGCTAGTACTTGAAGAAAACACAGGGCAGTTTTGTGGGCTATTGACAAATGGAGTTTGCATAATTCATCAAGATGCTATCAGAAACACAATTTGTATGTGAAAGTACTTCGCTCAATTTAAAAGGGAAACAAAAATCAAAAGATAGTATAACAAAGCCAATGTATAACAATCTCGTTATCCCATGAATATGCAGAATACAAAACGAAGACAGTTGTCATCATACATTCAATAAACCGCCAGAAAATAGTGCGAAAGAGAACTCTGATCTCTGGTTGATGAGCTGAAGCTTCAAGAACCCCTTTCCGGTGTCTTTGTAGTCGGGAGTGGAGTAATTCGCATACTGAAACTGTAAAGCGAAACATTTTAAGGTTCATATCTGCAGCTCTTTATAAAGTGTAGAAAAACTCATCACGTATGCTGGATGAACCTTAATCGGCGCAGAACACAAAAATGGAGGAAAAACTCTCGGATTCTCCTCAGGGCAGGTGGAAGCACTGAAAAGGGTAAATTTGAATTACTTCCAATCAGACCAAAGGCATTAAATTTAACCACAGAACACAATAAGCAAGGAAAACATTTGAAGGAAATCATTCAAAAAAAGGTCTAAATGTTCGACTGAATTCAAATATAAGCACAAGGGCAATGCAAGAACAGGTTTATATACCTGAAATTAGCAGGAGAAAACACTCCAATCCAATCATCGATTTTCGGGTTTTCGGTACCAAATTCCAACTTCACCCACTCTGAGTTCTGCCCCTAAAACATCAACAATCAACCCATCAGCCCAAACCACAGGATGAACACTGTGGCAGCATCGCAAGTCAATAACGCTCCGCGATTAGACCAGAAGGGGCCACCAAAACCAAATTAGGCTTTGAATTAAGAGTCTAAATAGTAATTAGTGAAATGCTTACCCTTAATCCAAGAACGGAAGGAGAGGCTTGAATGTAAGCAGGCTCATCAAGTGCAAAGGTTGCTCTATGAATAGCAATTCTGGAAAGAGGGTGATCTCCATGCGAGCTTGCCTTCTCAACTTGAAGGGTTGCAACAACAACTAACAGAATTGCCAACAGCCTCACTTGTTTCATTTCTTTCATCCCAATTTCCCACGCAGCATGAAAAATGAAGAAACTTTGTGAGAACAAAGGAAGAAAGCTGCAAACTTTGAGTGATGCAGTCGAACTGAAGTACAAGATTTTTTTGGGTTTCTGAGTTTTCAATGATTGCAAATCGTTAACAACTTTGGGAATCTTAAAAGGAAGATTCGACTTTTGCTCCCATTTTTCAAGGGGCGTTTCAGTAAAGAGCTGCTGTGCATTTTGAAGTTGTCGTTTTTTTGCCGGGTTTTTGACTTTTAATTTTTTTGTTGCCATGCCAGTTTTGATTGACCGCTTTATTGGAGAAACGATGTTACACTTATCATATTTTTTTTATTATATTTATATTTTAAAAAGAATCACAAATGGATTAACGTCGGAATGTTGTTATAATATTTATCTGATATTTTAATTTTCAAATAAAATTTAATATTTTAGTACTGCATCACGCTAAATTTGAAAATGGTAAGTATGGAATGACATGGATTTAAAATTAAATAAAAATGATCAATTGGTGATGTAACTACAACAGTCCTCTCTTTTAAGAGTTAAGAAGACTCACAAAACATATTGTCTTTTCTTAATCATCATTGTGTGATTTACTAACACCAAAAAACAGAATCACATTCCTCCATTTATTCTTTATTGTGTCCAGGAGGGGATGCTAAATGTTGGATGAGTCCAATGCACTCTTTGTT